GCCTCTGGAGGACACACAGGCTGGACTTGGAAAAGTGCCAGTAACCTACACCTCTGACTTTGCTCTTCCCTGACCATCCCAGACCTACTCAACTCCCACACGCCTGAGGAAACGGGATGGGATGAGTGCTGGGCACCAGGGAGAGGTGGAGGTGGGGCATTGGGAGGTGAGGTGTACGAAGGAAGGAGAGAGATGTAACTGAACCCAACCCATGCCCCTCCCCATCCGTCTCCCTCCCCTCCCCCCGTCACTATAAGGCACTGGTGGAGAAGGCAGCAGGCCCACCGAAGGTCAGGAGGGCCGGGGAGGGGCAGGTGTCCTCCGGCTGCCCCGTTCCGTTAGCAGTGCCCACTAACAGCCCCGCAGCTCCACATGCTGTGATGCGGTCGTGCCAGGCTATGGACGTTGAAAAGGCCTAAATTCATTAAACTGGTTTCATTGGCAGCAATGAATGGCTTGCTAACGTGTAGAAAAACATCTGTACCAAAATCCATGCACTTGCCAATGTAAAAAAAATGGCCATTCTGCTTTGCAGTTTTCTTATCTTTGGCAAAATCTATTCTAACTAGTTTTTCAAAAGGCATAGGAGAACTCATTCTATGGGCCTCCTAAGCATTCAAGAGCAAAATCCATTCTTGTATGGCTGTTCCTGCCCATCAGCCAGGCCTGGTCCCAGAACAGTGCTTCAGAGACAGCCCCATTAAATATTTATTGAATCAACAAATGAATCAATGCCTCAACCAGTCAAATCTCCTTCAGTCCTTACCACCCAAAATACAAATAAAATAATAAAAGGGATTCTCTGAGATACAAGGCGAAGCCCCCCCCCCCCCCCCCCCCCCCCCCGCCACACAGTGCGTGCTGGTGGGCATTTGGGAACAGGCGGAAGTTATGCTCAGCGATCCCCAGAATTAAACTCAAGCACATCACAATCCAACCTCACATCCATGGTCTCCACACTGCCATGGATGTGGAGACCATGGATGTGACACTGGCAACCAAGAACCAGAGACCCTCTCCCCAACACACACACACACACACACACACACACACACACATGTGGGTGCCCCAGAGCTTCTGATGAGCCCCCTCTCACCTTTGGGAGCTGCATTCCAGCCTGCGATGGGAGGAACTGATGAGAGCACGTCCAAGAGCAACAGGAAACATCTCAGTAACCACGTGCGGCACCAGTGGAAAGCTAAAGGAGTTCACCACCACCAAACTAGTATTATATGAAGTGTTGAAGGATGTTATTGAAGAAGGAGGAAGAGGAAGAAGGAGGAGGAAAAGATTAAAAATATGAGGAATAAAATGGCAACAAATATTACATATCTCAACAATGGGATCTAAAAATCAAAATAAGCAAACAAGAAATCTAATGAACAAAATAAACTGGTGAATAAAACAGAATCAGGGGCACGGAAGCAGGGGACAGACTGACAAATCTCAGAGGGAAAGGGGAGGAGGGGACGGGAAGAGATTAACCAAAGATCTGATCTATGGACACAGACAGTGCTGGTGAAGCCCTGGGTGGAGTGGGAACTGGAGGTGGGGAGGACATCTGTAATACTCTCAACAATAAAGATTTTAAAAAAAAGAAAATCAGGTATGGCTCAGCAATTGAATAAATATTACTGAAGGAATCCCAACTATTGGTTGCCTTTCCATTGTGTAAGGGGCATAGCAGAATGCCCCTTAAGCGACAGAAACCGTTGCTTTTGAAAAGTGTAATTTTAAAATGATCTCAATGAAGAGCTGGTGGAACTGTACCCTGGTGTTACTAATCTATAAGCAAAATCACTAAACCATGCATGTCATGTAGTTATTTAATATTTCTTCCAGGAGCCTCTGCAGACATACAGTTTGATGATATGTTAGATGTTTATTTTTAAAAAGTAGAGGGGGTAGTTGATACTGTACTTTTTAGAAAAATGGCCTTCAAATGTCTGTCTTGGTTGTTATTTTTTTTTAAATATATTTTATTGATTTTTTACAGAGAGGAAGGGAGAGGGATAGAGAGTTAGAAACATCTATGAGAGAAAATCATCGATCAGCTGCCTCTTGCACACCCCCTACTGGGGATGTGCCTGCAACCAAGGTACATGCCCTTGACCCGAATTGAACCCGGGACCTTTCAATCCGCAAACCGACGCTCTATCCACTGAGCCAAACCGGTTTTGGCTGTCTTGGTTGTTAAATAGAATGTAACACATGTAATGACAGTGCCGCTTTGGGACATGGCAGAGGCAATCGGCACAGTTTCTGACCACAATTTCATTGCTATGTGTCAGTGACTGTTATATGCCTCCACTCTGCCCTCCCTTTTGAATGGGAGATCTGTTGCACTTTTTCTATCCCTTGCTCGTGTTTTGGGTGTTTGGGGAAGACAAATAACTTATTTTCTTCATTAAAGGTTTCCACCTTGAGAGGAATTGTATCCAAGGATTGTCATCCATGTGTGGACCTGCTATGTGCACATAACAGGATCCTGGACTTGGAGCCAATGAAATGATATATGAGAAGAGGCTTTGGGAGAAGAATGTAAATTGTGGTCATAGTGGCAAAAAAAAAAAAAAAAAAAAAAAAAGCAAGTGATAGTGAAAAAAAATATAATATAGCTTCATTTTTCAGTATCAGGAGTCCAGTATTAGAAATGCAAGAGTAAAGGGTATGTGGGCTGAGCTTAGGGAGTGGCCCAAAGAGAAATTAAAAAAAAGAAGATTGACTCCACATTGCCAGGAGAGTGTATACTCTGCTTGTATAGCCTCATAACATCGATTATAGAATACTAGAAGCCCGGTACACAAATTCGTGCATGGGTGGGGTCCAGCTGGCCCAGTTGGTGTAAGGGGACCAATCAGGGGCAGGGCCAGCTGGCGGAAGGGGCCACAGGCGGTTGTCCAGCCCGCTGGTCAAACTCCCGTCCAGGGGACAATTTTCATATTAGCCTTTTATTATATAGGATTAGAGACCACAAATGGCTTATCAGTAGTGAAATGAGGAAGGTGGAAAAAGATTTACTATTTGAGACGTGGTTTTAAATTTCTATTCTGACACTTACCTAAGGCAAGCTATTTTACACATCACATGTTTTTTGTTTTGTTTTGTATAGTATTTTAAAAGTATGTTGTAAATGTATGTGTTGAAGTCCTTCGATTGTTTATGAAAGAAGATTGCCCTAGAATTATCTCTGAGGGACATTCTTTTTTTTTTTTTTTTTTTTTTTTTTTTAAATAAGAGTTTATTTGAGTCAAATTGATGACATATGCTGGGAGCAAGATCTCAAATTATCTGTGAGGGACCTTCTGACCTAGAGGTCTGAAGCCTACTTAGTAGTAACTGACATTTCAACCTTGGAGATAGATAATGACAAATGAAAATGGCTCTTTTGCTAGCTAATTCCCGTTCCTAGTGCAAAGCAGTATAGAACCATTTGTCTTTATAGAATGAAATAGAAGACAGAAGACTGGCTCTGATTATTTTGCAAGACAGAAATTCCATTCTGAGCAACGGCTTGACTGTTTGTGCTTGAATCTCTTATTAGTTCACCAGGTCAGAATACCCCGGAAATGCTGATGGGTTTCCGTGCTATTTCTGGAACCCAAACCCAATATCTAGGCGTCGCTGCGGTAAGAAGGAAGCCACTGTGGGCAAGTGTCCAATCCTGAGACCTTGTGAAACAGTTGGGGAGTCTAACCCTTTTAGGAACGTACTACCTAATCCTGTTAAAGAGTAAGTCCCAGATCCCTTTCATCCTGGTCATTGGGCCTGGGGCTGAAAGGAGGACATTTAATGTGTACTGCTTGTCAGACCCTGCTGGGTCATTCCACATAACATTATCTTAGTTAATCCCCGTGAAATACTTTGCATCATCTCCATTTACAATGCCTCAAGTGCCCAAGGTTGTGTGTGTGTTTAAAATGAATACTATTTGTCCTTCAGAGCTCATCTCAGATGTTACTACTTCAAGGAAGCTTTCCTAACCCTAAGGGTTTGTTTCCCGTTTATACATAACTAGAGGTCTGGTGCACGAATTCATGCAGAGTGAGGTCCAGGTGGCCTGGCCCAATCAGGGCCAATTGGGCTGGGCTGGCTGTGGGGAGAGGCCGGGGCGGTTGGCTGGCCAGCTCTGCCCCCTGGTTGAACTCCCGGTTGAACTCCTCGGGGAGGGGACAATTTGCATATTAGCCTTTTAAAAAAAAATTTAATTTATTTATATTTTACAGAGGGGGAGGGAGAGAGCTAAAGAGCTAGAAACTTAGATGAGAGAGAAGCATCGACCAGCTGCCTCTTGCACACCTCCTACCGGGGATGTGCCCGAAACCCATGTATTATACATGCCCTTGACCGGAATTGAACCTGGGACCTTTCAGTCCGCAGACCGATGCTCTACCACTGAGCCAAACCGGTTTCGGCAGCCTTTTATTATATATGATAACACACTGAATTTCAATAAGCACAGCAATTATGTGATTACTTACTTAACATCTGTCACTCATGCTAAAGTACACTTTAGCTCCATGAGGATGCAGACTTTGTCATTTTTCTGTGTTATTTTATAGTGCCAAGTATAGTTCCTTACACATTGCTACTCAGTAAATGATCACTGTATGACTGTGGCAAATAATTGCGATCGTCAGGAGTTGAATGCCTGTCTGTTAAGCTTCAAAACCTTTCTTCTTTAAGACCCATAAAGGAAGTATTTCTTCATGAAATGGCACAAGAGGCTCTTCCTCAACTGTATCTCAGTGCAAAATTGGCAACTCACTGTAGTTATTCATTAATCTGAGATATACTGCTGAGGGTGTGGTTCTGAGAAAAGGAACCGAAAGTCTTCAGCAAATCTCCAGTTCTGGATGGCCAGCTCTTCAGAGTGGTCCCACTCAGCTGAGCACCCGTTTTTGAAGCAAGTGGTGGGAAAGGCTCTAAGAATTCTGTGTCCCGCTAGGGAACTTTACAAGAGGTAGACACAACTGCTCGTTTACCAGTGTGTCTGACTTCCCACTGAACTGAAACTGCTTGTTTGGTGGAAAAGCAAAACTTGGCAGCAAATATCTAAGATGAAGACTCCCAAGACCTTTGAGGAGCAAACAGAATGCATCGTGGACTTTCTCCTCAGCGATTTATTGGGCCTACCTTCGCTGGTGGCTCCCCGGGACCTACGTGATGAAGGAGGCGAACTTGAAACAGATTCAGGTAAGGCTCCTGGTGTGCGGTGGTGATTGCAGGAGAATGGAGGTATGTTTTCTTATTTCCATTTAAGTTTCAATAGGCAAACTCGAAGCTTTCAGCAATACGTGCATCTTTATTTTTGTTAATATATTTTTATTGATTTCAGAGCGGGAGGGAGAGGGAGAGAGAGATAAACATCAATGATGAGAGAGAATTATGGATCAGCTGCCTCCTGCACGCCTCCTACTGGGGATCAAGCCTGCAACCCAGGCCTGTGCCTGACTGGAAATCGAACTGTGACCTCCTGGTTCATAGGTCAGCGCTCAACCACTGAGCCAGCTGGCTGGGCAATACCTGCATCTTTATGGACGGGTAATGGATTCTCAGCAAAGGGAGACTTTCTTTTATTATTATTTATTTTATTTTATTTTTATTAAGTTATTATCTGTGTACATATTTTACCATTGCCCCCCCCCCCATACATACCCACCCTCCCCAGAGTTCTGTGTCCACTGGTTGTACCTATATGCATGTATACAAGTCCTTCGGTTGATCTCTTATCTCCCCCAGATCTCCCTCAAAGGGAGACTTTCTGACTATTGATGTGGACAGAACAAAGAAGATGTTCTTAGGAGAAAGTGATGCCCAGATTGTTTAAAATTCTCGAGACCTTTCTCCCATGCTCAGGTTCCTGGGACCCGCCCTTCCCTCAAACACTGTGACATGTGATTGGGACCCTCTGTTCTAGGGGAGTGCAGCTCCTTTGACGTGGCCATCATTGCCAGTCGCCTTCGGATGTTGGGGGACAAGTTCAACGAGGAGCTGGAAGCGCCGGCCAGAAGTGTCATCGCAGAATCCGTTCGGGGACAGGTCAGCTTTCCACTGCTTTCTGTTTGCTGCTGTTTTCCTACTTCTGACGCCCTTTTCTTACTGCTCCTCTAGGGGTGTGACCGGAAGTGTTCTGGGAAAGATTTGGGGACTTATATTTATCCAGGAAGATACTGCAGGGATTCTCCGATGGCCGATTCTTTAGGAGTTAAGCAAAGGCTAAGTGGTATTGAGATGAAAATGGGCATAGGTTGGTCAGCCTTCACATCGTTAACTTTTTTTTTTGTCAGAGCTGTGCTTGGTGGCATAGAGCATATATTAAGCACTTTATTCTTTTATGCATCTGCTTTAATGCTTCTTTTTGTGGGTATGGGCACTGTTTCCCCCCAGCATGACATTACATTAGGAAGGACAGGCCGTGGACAAGTTTGAGGCAATGAGGGACAGTGGTACAGGAGCCCACTAGGGTGTATTCTTCAACAGAACCCTCGTTACTTCAGAAGCACTCGGGCTCTGTGTTGAATATTACAATATTCTGTAATGTTGCTGATTAATATCAATAGTGATGGTTAATATGATTTCTTCACTTACTACGTATCAGGGGATTTTGCAAATGCTTTATACTTATCTGATTTAAGCCTTACACCACTTTATGAGGTACCGTATTTTTCGGACCATAAGACGCTCCGGACCATAAGACGCACCAGTTTTTAGAGAAGGGAAATGAAGAAAAAAAGATTCTGAAACAAATAGTGTCCTAAAATATTTTATGTGCATTAAAACCCAACATCACAGTCATAAACACATGTAATCAACCCTGTAAAGTAAACAGCAGCATTTAGAACCATTTTAGAGTCGGGCAAGCACACAGAGACCACACAGAGCCGAGCAAGTAAAAAAACTTTTTTTTAAAAGTATATGTGTAGGCTATATTTGGACCATAAGACGCAGGGACTTTTCCCCCCCACTTCTGGGGGGAAAAAAGTGCGTCTTATGGTCCGAAAAATACGGTATTATAGAAACTGTTGTTCAAAGCACAACCTCTCCCCGTCTGTATGTGACATTGTGAGGGCGGACACCTAACCCATTTTGTTCAGGGCAGCATTCACACAGTCTAGAACAGTGCCTGATACATGAGATGTCTCCAGAAAGTATTTTCTGGCTTGATACCCATTTAAGCAGAAAGGGAACTGAGAACTAGGGAAAAAACTAATTGGGTTATACAATAAGTAGCTTCTTTTTTTCTTTTCTTTTCTTTTTTAACATTTGTTTTTCCATTACAGTATACATAGCATGGTGGTTAGACAATTACATACTTTACAAAATGTTCCCCTTGGTGTTTCCACCACCCACCTGGCACCATATATGGTCATTACAATATTATTGGCTATATTCCCTATGCTGTACTTTATATCCCTAAGCAATAGTTATTGAAGTTAGGATTTGAACCCAGACTGATTCCAAAACCATTATGCTTTATTCTTCCTACTAAATATATTTTAGGTAGCCGAAACTGGGTTGGCTCAATGGATAGAGCGTCGGCTTGGGGACTGAAGGGTCCCAGGCTCGATTCTGGTCAAGGGCATGTACCTTGGTTGCTGGCGTAGTGGGTGTGCAAGAGGCAGCTGATCGATGACTCTCTCTCATCAGTGTTTCTGACTTTCTATCTCTCTCCCTTCCTCTTTGTACAAAAATCAATAAAATATATATGTTAAAATAAATAAATAAATAAGTAAAAATAATAATAAATATATAATAGTATAGGTAGTATACCTACTATACATTCAGGCAGGACTAGCCTTACTATTCCTAGTTGCTCACACTGATGCTTTCCTCAGTAGCTGAGAACTGAATCTATTTTTAATTTTAAGATTATTTTTAAAAATGTATTTCTTTATTGATTTTAGAGAGGAAGGGAGAAGGAGAGAGAGATAGAAACATCAATGATGAGAGAAAATCATTGATGGGCTGTCGCTGGGGATCAAGTCTGTAACCCAGGCATATGCCCTTGGCTGGAATCGAACCTGTGTCCCTTCAGTCCGCAGGCTGACACTCTATCCACTGAGCCAAGCTGGCTAGGGCTTAAAATTATTTTAAAACAGCCTCAAACTCCAGAAATGTTGCTTGTGTTATACAAAGAATTCCCCTCTTAAATCATTTGAGAGTAAATATTATAACCAACATAGTATTCCATCACCCCCTAATCCTTTTATATTTCCTTGAAGCAAGGGCATTCTCTAATGTAATCACAATCTAACCAACAAAACCAGGGAGTTATCCTGGATACATTTTCATCTCATCCTAAGATCCCATTCAAATTTTGCCGATTGTCCCAATGATGTCATTAATAGCAGAAAGATGTAGGCCAGATTCACAGATATTGCATTAAGTTGTTAATATCATTTTAGTCTTCTTCATTCTGTAAGAGCTTCTTAGTCTTTCACTGGTTTTCATGACTTGACATTGAAGATTATGGCTCATTTATTTTGTAGACTGTCCCTTAACTTGGGTGTGATTGATGTTTCTCTTGAATAGATTTAGGGTATGTACCTTTGGAAAATCATAAAAGTGTTATTTTCTTAAGTGGCACTGATTTCTGTTGGTCCCATTACTGGTGGTAAATTGGATCACTCCCAATGGTGTCTGCAAGGCTTCTCCACCATAAAGTTACTCTTTTCACCTTTGTAACTAATTGTTTTATAGCGAGGAACTTTGAAACCATGTAAAAAATTCCATATCTCATCAAAATTTCAATCATTAATTTATATTTTATATCAACATAGATTTATGTTTTTTTTCTTTTATTGAATTCCTACTTTATTCAATGCGTTATAATCTGTTACTGTCATTGTTTATTTGAATGCTCAAAGCCTTACCCAGCTCTGGCCAGTGAAGTCCTTTCAATCTGGACTATTTCTTTTTGGCATGTCCCTGTTATTTTCTGAGTACCTCCTTAATTTCTTGGAAAGTAGAAGGGCGAGAGAGACAGAGAGAAATATCGATGTGAGAAAGACACATCTATTGGTTGCCTCCTGCACTCACCGGAACCTGCAACCAAGGTACATGCCCTTGACAAGAGTCAAACCCGGGACCCTTCAGTCCATAGGCCAACACTCTATCCATTGAGCCGAACCAGCTAGGCCAAATTTTGGGACCAATTGGCTTTTGGGCCAAATTTTTTTGGGAAGGCTAATCTTTTTTTTTACTTTATAACTTCCCAGACTTCAGTCGTTCAAATCAGATAACCAGCTATACTGTCATGTACTTAATAATTTTCTTTCAAAGCATTTTGTCTCTCAATCATTTGGTTTATCCTAGGCAATAATATCTGAAATCATGGATCTGATGGGTTACTTCTGGTTTTACTGATAGTCATTACACTAAATAAAACATTAAAATGAGAAAAGCCTGTCCATTTACTCCCTAACATTACCTTAGGTACAACAAGTGGACATTGGCCACTCTCTGGGCAACACTTGCTTAGTAGATTCTGTACCTGCAGCCTCCTGCACTTTTTAGTGAAACTCCACTGATACATCTATGTTTCTCCCCAGTTAGGAGCTGTCCTTCCGAATACGGTGAAATCTCTCAGCAAGGCCTGGTGTGCCCAGAATGCCAGCTTAGCTTATGAGACAGCCTTTGTAGCGGTATCAATTAAGCTGCTTGAACGTGTGGTCCAGCTGGCTCCAGAAAGGGCAAGACAGGTGGCAGCCTCCATCACCGATATGATCAATGGGAATAGCGCCGTCCAGGAGTTCATCCGGGGCCAGGGAGGCTGGGTAAATACGTTGGGGCCCCCGGCTTTGCTAGCCATTTGCAACTAACATCCGGGATTCCGGATTATGATTCTTTCTGTAAGTTGGAAACCAAGTAGAAAAATGGCTCTGAAATGCCAGGATTGCTTTTTTTCCATGGAAAAGGGGAGCATTCAGAAGCTCAGCCTGTGGAGGTTGGACTCCAGAGTCATGCTGCCTAAAAAATTGACTGCTAAATATCTAAAGCAGATTTCCACTCCTTACACATCTATAAAGTATACGGATTGAGTTCTAATCTCAGCCTGGCTTCCCTTTGTTGGCTGGTGAGTGAGTGGTGTCTGCGGTGGTGATAAGTACACGAGGTGTCCTAAGCCCAGGCTCGGTCCTCGTTAGACCGTCTGCTCTCAGCACCTCCCTTCCCCGCCAGGGCCCACAGACGGCCCAGCAAGAGCTGCCTTCCCTGGTGGGACCTGCAGACCGCTCCGGAGTTCCTCAGGCAGTTCCTGACGAGCATCCCTCTGACTGTCCGCTATTCCTGTCCTTCTAGGAAAATCTGGAGAGCTGAAGAAGAGGCAGCGCTCTCTCCCGGCCCGAACACCCCTTCCTCTTCGACTGATCAGGTGACTGATTTCTGGCAATTAAAACGGAAACGACCAAATAAAAAACCATTTTTGGACAGAACTGAACTTAGTTGAATCATTTATTTTCTTTCTTTTTAAAAAAAAAAATAATGCAAATTTGCTCTTTTCTTTTTCTTTTAAAAAAAATATATTTTATTGATTTGATTTTATTGATTTTTTTACAGAGAGGAAGAGAGAGGGATAGATAGTTAGAAACATCGATGAGAGAGAAACATCGACCAGCTGCCTCTTGCACACCCCCTACCGCGGATGTACCCACAACCAAGGTACATGCCCTTGACCGGAACCGAACCTGGGACCTTTCAGTCCGCAGGCCGACGCTCTATCCATTGAGCGGATAATTTATTTTCTATTGATAAAGTTGGGAGCAGCTTTGAGAGGTCCACAGAGATTTTGCACTTTCTGATTTGCTGTGAGTTTTAATGAGGTTCTGTTGAAGCAAAGACCTCCAGCACAAAGCAGTGCCTTGCTGGCAGTGGGATGCCAGGGCAGGCATTCGCTGGAGTTATTTTGGGGAGGAGGGAGCACACAGCAAACTCTTCCTTCAGATTGAGCTCTGTCTTCGGTGAGAATCTTCTCTACTGATTTTGCAGCCATGAGAGACTGGGTTTGGGAAATCTTGTTACTTTAAGTGAAGATTTTCTTTTAAATTCACAGTCTCAGTTTCATGTTAATTTGATCCGAGCAGAATTATTTTATGCATTTTTCAAGGCTGGAAGGGAAACGAGAAGGTTGCCCTTCTATTAGAAAGGTCAAAGAAAGATGAAAGAGTTGCTGATTTTTTTCTGCCATAGAACGTGCAGGAAGCGCTGGCCCACATCAGGACAGGAGGGCCACCGGGCCTTAGAGGAAGCTAGCGGCATGCCGCAGTGACTTCAGAGGGGTCACATGCCGCTTGCAGACCTTACCTGGTGTCCAGGTCCCACACGGAGATTCTGCTCCTGTAAGGGGGCGGCGGCGGCGGGGGTCAGAGTCTGAGGTCCTACATTTTAACCAGCTCTCTGGGTGACTTGAAGTACAGTTCGAATTTGAGAACTGTCACTTTAATTATTATTATTATTATTTTAATATATTTTATTGATTTTTTACAGAGAGAAAGGGAGAGGGATAGAGAGCTAGAAACATCGATGAGAGAGAAACATCAACCAGCTGCCTCCTGCACACCCCCTACCAGGGATGTGCCCGCAACCAAGGTACATGCCCTTGGCCGGAATCGAACCTGGGACCTTTCAGTCCACAGACCAATGCTCTATCAACTGAGCCAAACCGGTTTTGGCAAGAGAACTGTCACTTTAGAGCTACAGTTGGCAAATTGAAGCCCACAGGCCCATCCAGCCTGCTGCTTTTTTTTTTTTTTAAATAAAGTTTTATTGGAATGTGGCCACACTCACTTGTTTACATATTATCTATGACTATTTTCCCATGGCTATGGCGGAGTTGAGTAGTTATGGCAGACACCCTATGGCCCCTGAAAGCTTAAAATATTTTCTCTTGGCCATTTACGTTTGCAGACCTCTGCTGTGAAGCTAAATGGACATTTATCATTGGGTAATTTAAACCCTGTTGCATCGTGATAATTCCTGGCAAACACAAGTGCAGCTAGAATAACTTCTCTCCCCCCCCCCCCCCCGAATTTAGTTTGAGCATGTTAGTTCTTACATAGTCTACACTTTCTCCAGACTTTTAGCAAATTAGAGCATTTTGTGACTCCGGAGAGGGTATGCATTCCCATGGCCCCAGCACAAGTGAGAGGAGGTAACTGGAAGCAAAGCATATGGTTTCTATGGTCTAGAGCTCAGAACAGCCCTTAATAAGCTCACAGATGAGCAGGCAGTCCTCAAGTACTTAGACTTCTTCTTCCAAAGCTGTGCAACCAGATTAGTTCAGGAAGAAAAACACTGCTGTATCTATTTTTAAAGAGGTGTTAATGTCTATGGCTAAAGTTTACAGAGTTAACCACATCCCTTCTCTTCAGCCAGCCAGCTATCTGTAGAGAAATAAAGACACAGTCCTGCGAATATATTCTGACTTTTTCAAAGTAGGCCATTTCCTCTATTCTTGGATAAATCACAATAGGTTAGTAAGCCAGAAATAAGATTTCATGTTTCTCTTTAGTAGAAATTAGCTTCCCCTCCTTCCAATTGAAGATACTTGGTGTATTCTTTTGTCCCTTATATTACTATAACCTCAGCATGGTAAGTTTTGTGGTATTTGACCTCTTAAACGAAGTCATTGTTTTCACTTTGACTAATGTCTGTGCACTTGAACCAGTTTGCAGCACGTGAAACTTCAGTGAAATGATATAGAACCAGAACAGACTGGTGGTTGCCAGGGGCAGCAGAGGGGGGTTTGGGGGCTATCGTGAACGGAGTCAAAAGGTACAAACTTCCAGTTACGACATGAAGCAGTTCTGGGGATCTAATGGACAGCATGGTGACTCCATTACATATTTGAAAGTTGCTAAGAGAGTAGATTTTTAAAGTTCTTACAAAAAAAAAAAAAATTGTAACTATGTAAGGTGATGGGTGTGTTAACTAACCTTATTGTGGTGATCATTTCACTATATATACATACATTATCAAATCATTTCATTGTATACCTTAAATTTACATAATTTTCTTCTTTCTGAAATCAATAAAAATGTATATTTTTAAATCAGCCCGGCCGGCATGGCTCCGGGGTTGAGCATCAACCTATGAACCAGGAGGTCAGGGTTCAATTTCTGAACCTGGCACATAGCCAGGTTGCGGGGTCGATCCCCACCGTGTAGAGTATGTAGGAGGTAGCTGATCAATGATTCTCTCTCATCGATGTTATTTCTATCTCTCTCTCCTTCTCCCCTCCTCTCTGAAGCCAATAAAAATATATTAAAAAAGAAAAGAAAGGAATGCATTCAGGTTGTCTGATTTTCACAATTTAATTTCACCATAGGTTGATCATGTGATATTGGGTAAGTAATCTAATTTCTTTGTGCCTTAGTTCCCACATTTAAAATAGAGATGATTTGGTAACTGATTCACAGGATTCTTGTGAGGGGTAAATGAGGGGTCAATTTTTCCAACAGCCGTATCCACAAACTCTCATTCTTTTTTTTCTTTTTTTAAAATATATTTTATTGATTTTTTACAGAGAGGAAGGGAGAGAGATAGAGAACTAGAAACGTTGATGAGAGAGAAACATCGACCAGCTGCCTCTTGCACACCCCCTACCGGGGATGTGACCACAACCAAGGTACATGCCCTTGACCAAATCGAACCTGGGACCTTTCAGTCCGCAGATGGACGCCCTACCACTGAGCCAAACCAGCTTCGGCAAACTCTCATTCTTTATTTCTGTATACCCTTCGTACTCCCATACTCTTCCTGCTTGCCATCCAGCTGGCTCAACACCTCCATCAGTTTTTCCTTCTCCCTCTCCCCAGCTCTACTCATCCAACAGGCCTTTCTCACATATTCCTTCCACTTTGTTCTGATTCTTCCTGTAAGAGTTTATTACCACCTGCCTAGGCTATTGGTAAAGCCTGCTAGTTAAGCTTTCATCAATCCTCATGTCTCAGGTTTGTCCCATTCCAGCCTGTCCTGTACACAGTCTGCCCCCAGACCAACCAAAGCTGTGGTTCCTTTGTCCATGATTTTATCCATTTTTAGATATGCTAGACCGTAATACATTTTGAAATTATACATGCCACTGAGGGAGATTATGAGACTTTCAAAACTTTTCCAGAAGGGAGCATTTATTAAAAAAAATAAAAAAATAAAAAAACCTTAACAAACAACAAGTGCTGGTGAGGATGTGGAGAAAAAGGAACCCTGATACACTGCTGGTGGGAATGCAGCCTGATACTATGGAAGTCAGTGTGGAGTCTCCTCAAAAAATTAAAAATGGAATTGCCAGTTGACCCAGTGATATCACATCTAGAAATATTTCCTAAGAAGCCTGAAACACCAGTCAGAAAGGACGTATGCACCCCTATGTTCCTAGCACCACAATGTAGCTAACATCTGGAAACAGCCCAGGGCCCATCAGTAGACAAATGGACAAAAAGCTGTGTTACATCTGCACCATGGAATTTCATGCAGCCATCAGAAAGAAGGATCTCTTACCCTTTGAGACAGCCTGGAGGGACCTGGAGAATATTATGCTAAGCAAATAAGTCAGTCCAAGAAAGACAAGTATCACATGATCTCACTCATATGTGGAAACTGATGAACAACATAGACCCAGAGAGAGAAACATGGAACAGACTGAGGAATCTCAGAGGGAAGTCGGAGGTGGGTGAGAAGAGATTAACCAAAGAACTTGTATGCATATATATGCATAACCCTGGACACAGACAATAGTGTGGTGAAAGCGTGGGAGAAGGGGGCGTGAGGGGTGAGGGGGCATGGCTAGATGAGGCCAATGGGGTGGGGGGCGGGAAACAGGACAAATGTAATATTCTCAACAATAAAGATTTTTTAAAAACCAAGAAACTTTTTCCCAAAGCATTGCTTTGATTGCCATTCTCTTAAAACCTTTCATCAGATCTTTTGATTAGATTAGATATGTTCGTTATCTTGACTGTGCTGATGGTTTCATGGGTATATATACACAAATCAACATTTAACAAATTGTATACTTTGAAATGTACGGGTTATTGTATGTCAGTAATACCTCAATAAAGTTGTTAAAAAATATCCTTCAGTAGTTTTTCACTACCCACCAAATAAAGCAGGACTTTTCGGCCCGGGTCAAATTTCCTTCGGGCTCTGGCCTCAACTGCCCTTTTAGGCTTCTCACTCTAGAGTCCTCCACATAACCAGTACTCCCCTGAAGCAGTCGCTCACCTTGCTCTCTGCCTCCCACTGTCCTCTGTGTCTTATATTGCTTTCTCTCAGGCTCTGCAGAAATCTTCTAAGACCCAACTCAACTGTCACTTCCGCTGCGAAGGTTACCCGGATCCTGAACAAGAAGTGCTCCTGGCCTTCTCAAAATTTTGTTTGTCCCATGTCCATGGCCTTCCCACGGATGATCTCAAATCACAGTTATTTGTGTACTTATCCTCCCTACTGGAATAAAGGTCCTCGAATGGAAATGATTTGTGGAACACTTCACTTCTGCAGCACCCCTCTTGCCATCCTTTTTTTTTTTTTTTTTTTTTTTTTTTTAATATATTTTATTGATTTTTTACAGAGAGGAAGGGAGAGAAATAGAGAGCTAGAAACGCTGATGAGAGAGAAACATCGACCGGCTGCCTCCTGCACACCCCCTACCGGGGATGTGCCCGCAACCAAGGTACATGCCTTTGACTAGAATCAAACCTGTGACCTTTCAGTCCGCAGACCGACGCTCTACCACTGAGCCAAACCGGTTTCGGCGCTCTTGCCATCCTCTTGCGTGTGTGTGGAACTCCTAATGAATGAATGAACATCAAACGAAAGAGGAGACTTCGCTGGATTCTAGTTTTAATAAGATGCCAACCAAGCCTCACCAAGTATCTCGAAACTCTATTTTTTTTCTTAAAGTAAATTGTTTCTATTGCAACTTACTGGTTGACCTTTGCCTCCTGAGGATTGTATTTGTGAAACCAAAGGCAGAGTGTGTCTCTGAGTCCCTGAGTGGTGTGTGTGGGAAACTCCGAAGTTGCCAGGAGCTGGAATGACACGCTTGGAGAGTCTCAGGAGGCTGCGGAGATGAAAAGCAGATTGGAAGATGGGCAGGGATCTACAGAATATCTGTGTTTTCCGATGATCTTAGGCTCTACAGAACCCCTCTACAGAACCGCTGCTGTGGAACCTAAGACCATCGGAAAACACAGATCTTTACATTATGATTCATTAACAGTAGCAAAATTACCGTTATGAAGCAGCAACGACAATAATGTTATGGTTGGGGGTCACCACCACATGAGGAGCTGGATTGAAGGGTCACGGCATTAAGAAGGTTGAGAACCACCGTCATTGAGAGAGAAGAAGGTTCTCAGACACCCACTGACTAGTTTATCTTGTCCTGATCTCCCCTGACATTCTCTTTGGTTAAAGTTTTGTTGTCATCCAACTCCCGGCCTCTGTGACACTGCTGTTTCCCCTCCGTGGCACCCTCTGCTCTCGTGGGCACAGGAGGCAGTGTCATGGGCACTCCTTTCTGTCATGGGCTTCCTGCTGAGCAGGCGCCAGAGCCACCGGAGGGAGCAGTCGCGTGTTCCTTCCTCACCCTTCGGCGGCTCATTCAGAACCTCGCTTCCCACCGGCGCTCACCCTGGACGGTCCCGACAAGGTGTCCACGCAGCTCTTCCTGCGTGGAATTGTTGTGCTCACTCAGGGCTTGTGCCACCCTGGTTTAAATGTTTCACTGTAAATTCTGGGAAAAAATGCCAAGCTGCTGCATGAATAGTTTCCCCTCCCTGTTCTTGATCTTCCCACAGACACAAATGAGTCAATAGAACGTTTATCCAGAAGCATCGTGCGTCTGTTGCCCTGCAGTACCTGCAAAAGGAAGTGTGTGAAAGTAAGCAGCAGCTTAGATGCGTTCAAGATAAAACACCTTTGTTCTCCTCTCCTTCACTCTGGTGTTTGCTCGCCTGAGTGGTCTGCTCAGGAAATGGCCTTTTAGCTAAGTGGGTTTTTGAGGTTTGGTTATTTCACGGTTTTCTATACTTTTTGGTTGTAGGGCTTGAGGAAAATAGTTTTTATTAGGTACCTTCTTGTTTATTCATAGCAAAGTTCTGGTTTTGATGGAAGGGAAGACATTCTGAGTGAACAGATTCTGAAACTGTTATCTCTTTTTTGACCAAATACAGAAAATCGTTTTCCTTTTTGGATTATGCTTTGCTACTCTGCAAATAAGCAAGTTACTTTGGAATATACTTATTTTTTATCAGTAATTAAGTCCACATCTTTGCTTTCTTAACTCTCTAAGCATGTTTTTTCACTTTTCCTTGCTGTTCACTCTTGTGTACCCACCCCTCGTGTAGTGCTCAGCATTTAGTGGTACTCAGTAAATTTATTGAACAAATTAATGGATTTTTGTGTGTGTTTTTCTAATTTAAAAAATTATGTAGTATTAAAAAGAATTTTTAAAAGCATTTTTAATCCCAACACCTACATAACAGATTTTTTTTTTTTTTTTTTACAACTTTTAGTCTTTATTTAAACATGTGCATAGTTTCATTTACTGTGAACTTTAAGTTTTGGCCTTTTAAAAATTGCCCTTTATTTCCAGGCTGGTGTGGCTCAGTGGTTGAGCATCAGCCCATAAACCAGGAGGGGCACAGTCAGGGCACATGCCCAGATTTTGGGCTTGATCCCCAGTAGGGAGTGTGCAGGAGGCAGCTGATCGATGATTCACTCTCATCATCAATATCTCTCCTTCTCCCTTCCTCTCTGAAATCAATAAAATATATATATATATATTTTTTAAAATTGCTCCATCCTATCTAATGAAGAGGGGATATGTAAATTGACCCTCACTCTGTCACACCATCACAAAGATGGCAGCACCCACAGTGGAGGTGGGGTTTCCATAACATAAGATGGCAGTGCCACAGCGGAAGTGGGATTTCTGTAACACAAGATGGCTGCATCCACAGTGGAGGCCAAATTCCCATAATGAGCCTTAGCGAGCAATCAGCAGGGACCTGAGGCGGGAGCGGAGGACCTGAGGATCTGGCCCCCGCCCAGCAGGGCTTGACTGGAGACCTCAGGCCACATCCCTCACCTGGCAGAGCTTGATGGGGGACCTAAGGCTGTACCCCAGGCCCGGCTCGCCTCAGACTCTGACAGGAGGAAGATTTTTCATATACATTTTACTAATTTTCTTTCATCTCTGCCACTTCTATTATAAAGGGCAAATAGCAATATTAAAATATGTCCTCTAATTAATTCCCTTTTAATGTGCATGAATTTTGTGCACTGAGCCACTAGTATTTTATATGTTTTAAAATAGCCAAACTAAACAATGCATTACTTAGAGCAGCAAGAAAGTCTCTTTTAATGCTAAAGGGGATAATTTGAGAAATACTACCCTAGTCTCAACAAGTACTGTTGAAGAATTATGGTCCATTTTAATTTATTGTGTGGGTTGGGATTAAAACTCTCTATGGGCGTCACATGATCTCTAAGCAGTATTCCTCAGTGACCATTCCTTTCCTTTGGCAAGGCTCAGCAAAGTGGATGGAGCCTAATAGCGTTCAGAATCACCATTTCCTATGGGGACTGTGAATAAGCTGCGAAACAAAAAGCATTGCTAATAACTAGAGGAAGTCCTGACAGCACATCTGTGAATTTCCTTCAGGGTTATTTCAGACTAATTTTTTAAAATATATTTTTATTGATCTCAGAGAGGGAGAGAGAGAAACGTCAATGGTGAGAGAGAATCATTGATCGACTGCCTCCTACACACCTCCTACTGGGGATCAACCCAGACATGTGCCCTTGGCTGGAATCAAACCCAGACCCTTTAATCCACAAGCCAACACTCTATCCACTGAGCCAAATCAGCAGAGCCCAGACTAATTTTGTTAACACATTTGTGGGACTTCTGTCCTCAGACAGGTGATATGCTGCTCTTGGGTTGCTCTCACGCTCAGTGGGATGCTCTTGAGTATAGTAGGTCTGTGCCCATTGAGGGGACGAGCTGCGACGTGGGAAGTTTCTTTAGAGCAGCCTGCCTGCCCGACGGGGTCACGTGCCACACAGAGAGCGTGGCTTCCTCAGGCAACGGCCTTTCTTCCCAAGGCATACGCCGCAGAATATAAATGTCTTTTCCCAGAAATAGTTCTCGGGCTTTTGGTTCTGGAAGCCAAGCTGTTGCGGGCAAGGTGGGTTGACTCGCTCTTTTCCTCTTCCTTCCCAGTTCCCTTCATTACATACGGGGGACGCTGTGACCAACCTCCTGGGCTCCTGGGCTCTCCATGGACCGACACTATCCCCAGAGCTCCACTGAGGCTCAGAGAGCCCTGGTGGCTCATGGGAGTCCTGAGATCCCAGCACTTCCCCAACGGGGGCCGCACTTCCCGGCCCCGGTGAGGCCCGGCCAGCAGGTCAGGAGCAGCTTACTGCGTGGGTTCGAGGGCTACATGGCAGGCCTCAGAGCTCTGAACAGAGACGTTTCTCCGTTAAGCAGGATTTGCCATCGATCACACTGACGAGAAACTTAAAAAACCTCTCAGCTCCAAACAGGGCCCGCCTCCCTCGCTGGGCCCAGCTCATTCAGGACGCGAAGACGCAGGTGTCAGCAGGGCCTCGGTGCTCCGGGGAGCGGGGAGGCAGCACCTCCCGGGGAACAGTGTTCACTCTGCCTTTTCCTCGGAGCGGAGAGAAGGCCCGTGCCACCGAGGCCGACGGGGCGGACCGGCCTCAGGGCTGAGCGTGAGGCTCTGGCGAGCGTCTTGTTTGTGAAAAAACTCGAGTTGCCGCCGGGTTCCCTCCTCGAGGAGGAAGGCGCTAGGGCCCGGGGGTGAGGCGATGGCTTTGTTGTGTGACCACAGAGGCGGGTTACGTACTAATTTCCTCTCCGGCTGGTGATGAAGTCAGTAAACCACAGCCTTCAACACGCTCCGCCGGGGCCGCACAGCGGCTTCCCGCCCGGCCCGGCCATGACTCCCGCCGGCCATGCCCTCCCCTGACCCAGCGGCGCCGGCTCTCCGCCTGCAGCATGGACCAGAGGGAGATCCTGCAGGGCTTCCTGGAGGAGGCCCGGAGCAAGAAAACTCACAAGGAGGAGTTTGCCAGCGAGTTTCTGGTGAGTCCGGGGGGACACCCTCGGGGGAGCCACACGGATCCTGCACTGGCTCGGGGGTCCTGCTCTCCCGGACCCCATGGCTCCGGGGGGTCAGTGGCCATCGGGCCTCGCAGGAGAGGAGGGAGGAAGGCAACCTGAGAGTCCGGCTTCTCTGCTGTTTTGTGTGTCTTTTCATTCTTCTCTCCAAAATACGGCTTTTCGTGTTTTCTTTGCTGGTTCTTGGAGTCTGGCTAGGAATCCCCAGCAGGCATGCCTCAGTCCAGGTGTGTAAACACCATATTAACGGGCCATCTGGCCTCCCCAGGTGTGTCTGTGGTGATGTGTGTTCCCAACGGGTAACGCTCATTAAGGCGAGAGAGACCCAGACGACCTTTCCATGGGACCCTTTTTTCTGGCCTTCCCGTGGGATTTCACAGAGACGCTTCTGGAGCCCCCAAACCACCTGCTGCCACGCTTTCTGATTTCTCAGACAGAAAAAGGATGAGGACATGTGTGCTTGCAATGACAGTGCTTCCTTAACCTTTTTCGTGGAGGGTGGACGGCCAGGATGGAGAGCAGAGACAGGGGAGGGCCGTGGAAGAATGGGCGAGAGGGGGCCCAGGCCCTGGGATTGGGGTCCCTCAGGAGCCCTGCCTCTCGGAGGAGCTTGGTTACTGGTGCCGTGGAGCCGGCAGGCCTCGCTCACCCGTAACCAGCGCCCAGAGGACACGGGGTTCCGGTGGCATTTGGAATGTGCCCAGCCGGGGTTGTGGAGCCCTCAGACCTTAGCTCTCCAGCGGTGCAGGAGCGGGGAAAACAAAACCTGAAATGAAATCGTGATTCTGTCTCCAACCCGAGGAGCAACTGTTTGACATGCCCCCCAAGCCCCTGCTTCCCAGCTTCTCCCTCGGGGAGAGAAATTCATGTCCTCCCTGTCCTCACGGGCTGCTGTGATGATCAAATATCAATAATAACCAAATGCGGCCATTCATCCAGTAATATTTATTGAGAACCTACTATGTCCCAGTTCTAGGCACTGAGGATGCAGCAGTGAACAAAGTAAAAATCTCTGCTTCGCGGAGCGAACATTCTGGCACAGACAGTAGATGTGAAAGTGCTCTGTGAAGTCTCTAGGGATCAGACATTATGATTGAATTGTAACCTATTAGAATAGAAATCCGCTGTCCGCTCTGCTGGGATGATATCCTGCTGGCGTGACATAAGTGTTCTAACTACCACCTGCCAGGCCGGCGGAGTCCCTCTGAGCAGGGAGGGAGGTCAGGGGCCCTGTGCCGGGGCCTGTGTGTCTGCTTCGGCCGGGACCCGCCTGGGCTGCGCTTCCTGAGCCAGGTTCTCCCAGTGCACAGAGGGCAAAAGTGAGCCGAGGGGGCAGTGCCGGCCTCTGCTTTACTTCGGTTGTGTTTTTAACCGATGATGGAGACTAGATCCCTGATCGTTTGCCTTTTCTCAGCTCAGTCCTTGTAAGCCCGTGCCAAACCAGGCAGTTGCTTCACCTCCGGTTTTCTCTGCCTCCAGCTTTGCCCCAACCTTCGATCAATTTTCCGTTCCACCCCCACGTGATCTTGTAATAATACAAATCTGGTCGTCTTCCCCTGCTTAGAAGCCTTTTATAGACAGGTGTGTGTGTTCTTCAGCTGTCTAAAACTGTAATGCCCGTTTAGAAAAGTACATGAAAGGTGTGTATTATAAAGCAGCCACCACGGCAGGTCAAGGACGAGGCCGTTGTCAGCCTCAGGAGACTTCTACTGTGCGTCCCTTTCCCCCAGGGCTCCTGTCCCCTCTCCCCCCACCTGCCCTGCCCTGGGAATAGTCACCACCCCGACTTTTACATTAATCACTTCCTTGCTTTTCTAGCTCCTGATTTAAGGACCTTGTTTGGGGTGATTAAGTGGAACCTCGCTGTTCACTGACTCACGTCCTCCGGTGGAAAAACCAAGTCTTGCTTTCAGCCCCACCTAAAGGTTCAGCTGAGATACCAGGGGAAGAGCTGAGGGTGGGGGTCCGGGAGTGAGAATGAGGCCAGACTGCTTGCTTGGACAAGGAAAATACTGCCATTAAATTGGGGGAGGGAGGGAGAGATATCCCACCTTAAGCCCTGAATGTATTCTTCCAGGATTTGGCGTGTCTGAGGTTTAAGGACTGAGTCTGTGACACAAGGTCCCCCTGGGTCCATGGCTTAGACTTCGTCCCTGCGACCCCTTTTCTGGCTGTCTCTGTCCAGAGCACGGAGCCCTGCTGTGGCCAGAAAAGCCAACACCGTGCTGCCCAGGTCTGGTACCCGGGACCAAGACCAAGTCCAGTAGCTTTTCTGTGGCTGAAACTGCCCCGGCCACTCCTGTGCGGTTCTCACACGGCCATTCAGACACTGCCCGGGAGCCCACGGGGCAAAGCGTGTGCCGGAAGCTGCGTGGCAGGGAGGTGTTCCCGCCTCGGTGGTGGCAATGTTTCCTAGACATTGGAGGAGTCTTAGTGGACAGACATTAAACAACGATTCCTCTATAAAATACTTAGTTATATCTTGTGAGTCCTGGTGGGGTGTCAAGGAAGCATTACATTCATTATCTTATTTACTACACTTACACACACACACACACACACACACACACACACACACACCAAAACCCCCCATGAGCTGATTATAATCTCTGAGTTACGGACATGGAGACTGAGGCTGGGAGAGGTTAAGTAATTGGTCTAAACCAGTGGTTGGCAAACTCAGTAGTCAACAGAGCCAAATAGCAACAGGACAACAATCAAATTTCTTTGGAGAGCTGAAAACTGACTTCTGCACATGGGCCACGAAGTTTCAATCGCACTGAACGTGCGCGCCCACACATGGTATTCTGTGGAAGAGCCACACTCAAGGGCCAAAGAGCCGCATGTGGCTCAAGAGCCGAAGTTTGCTGACCACTGGTCTAAGCTCACTCAGTGTTCAGCCATAGACATGACATTTAACCTGGAGCTGTCCTTCAGAGCCTGTGAAATTAGTATCTTGCTTCAACCGGTAACACTGAGTCCCTAAAAGGGCCTGCCTGTTAGTATAGTTTAGTTTAGTTTAGTATAGTTTCTACCCCAGTGTAACGTAGTTTCTCTATAGCAGACACTGCAGTGTGCCACTGCACTACTGACAATTTATTTTTTTTAAAAGCCCCATTGCCGCTATTCTTATAAAATAATATTATTGTAAGTTAAAAGAAAATAAGTTCACCATAGTATCAACTTTCCAACAAGTACAGTTTTGGGGTTTTTGTTTGTGTAGAAATTCTAGTTCTTATCCTTTTATATGATTGTATTTATGAGTATAAATGCAAATTTCTATTCTTATTTTCGCTTAACATTACACCAATATTACCATGTTGATTAAAATCTGCCTTAATGACCTCTCACACAGCAGGTCATTATGAAAAAATAATGAAAAAATAATCCTAATAATAGCTAATATTTTGTACCTGCTATGGAAACTTTCTAAATGCTTACATAGCAACTCATTTAACCCATTGAGGAAGGCATCGTTACTATTTCCACTGTATAGAGGAGGAACCGGAGGCACAGCAGGGTTAATTGACTCACTCAGGGTCGTAGAGCTGGCATGCGGTTGAACTGAGTTTTGAGTGCAGGCCATCTTGCTTTCCCGTCTGTACTTGTAACAACTTTGGAGTCGGATAAATTTGGTTTGAATTTCGGTTCCGCCTAGAGTCTTCTGTGTGACCTTGAACAAAGTCATAAAAAGTGAGAACAAATAATATTCACTTTGCAGAGCTGCTGAGAAGGTACTGGAATAAATATACAAAACGCCTGACACCTAGCAGGCACCCAAATAATTAAATTACATCTCTACTGTAGGACAGCAAAGCTGTTTCTAACTTTTCGTGGTTATTGACATACCTCAGTAGCTATGTTTGTCCACGTGGGTTTTCCTTCCTTTTGGATTTGAGGCGAGAGCCCCCAACGTGCTGTTACTAGATCGAAGAATATTAGCATCTAATTGGTTAAGTATTGCCAAATGTATTTCCAAAAGAGGTTTTTTAATTTGCAGTATCTGAATGTATCGTCTTCTCTACCACCTTGCTAGTTTTAATTTAATAACTATAAAAAATAATATACATTTTTTTTACTGCTTACCATATATGAGGCAATCTAAGTGGTTTACCACTAATAATCTCAATTGCTATCCGTCCAAGAGGAAAGTATCAGCTTCATTTTACCCATAAAATGGCAAAGCCGGGATTTGAAACCTTGTCTGATACTCTGAAGGGCTGAAAGCCTTCTGACTATGAGCCTGCGCTCTTAGTCCCCCACCCTCGTCCGCACTCTGTTGACTCAAGTTTATCCACTGGTCTTAACTTAAAAACTGCAGCATCTTGCCGAAACTGGTTTTGCTCAATGGATAGAGCGTCAACTAGAGGACTGAAGGGTCCCGGGTTCGATTCCAGTCAAGGGCATGTACCTTGGTTGCGGGCACATCCCCAGGAGGGGGTGTGCAAGAGGCAGCTGATGGATGACTCTCTCTCATTGATGTTTCTGGCTCTCTATCTCTCTCCCTTCCTCTCTGTACAAAAATCAATAAAATATATTAAAAAAAAACAAACACAACAAACTGCAGCATCTAACACGTATACAGAAACTTGCTTCCCACACACATCCACATCCACAACTTAGCAGCCGGAAATAACACGGGCAGCCACATCGGCACCGCTGAGACCAAGGAGTAGAACATCGTCACACCCCAGAAACCCAGGGCTGTCTTTCCAGATCCTCACCGGCCCGCTGCCTCCAGCCTGCAGGCACACGCTGTGCTGAGATTGTTCGTTCTGTGGTGTCGCACAAGACCCATTTTTATCTCACGAAACAATTAGACATGCATCTTACCGGTTTGTGGCCTTTATGTAAATGAAAACATGTTTCTTCTTATGCCTTTCTCCTCTCTCCTGCGTTATATTGATGAAATCCATCCTTGCACATAGCTGGGCCCCTCGGGGCCGGGTCAGTGTCGCCCTCCCTTCCTGCACAGTCCTGTCTGTCGGATTCAGAGGCCCCCGCGCCTCATTCCCTCCGCTCACACTCACGCTTTCTCGGTGCTATGGGCGCTCTGGAGAAATGATGCTGACCTTGACCTGCAGCTGAAAGGCACTGAGGACCTACCTCCAGGAGACAGCCCCGCCCTGGTTCCCGTCGCCCAGCTAGTACAGGGAGATTTACTGACGTTGTTTTGAGCATGAGAGAGATACAGAAAGCAATATTTTGGTAATATTATTTTGGCATAATCATGCCTACTGGATTTCAATGGGGAAGGGCAGAAAAATGGGAGGATGAGTTAAGAAACATCTACTAACAGTTCAACCTTGAAGGGAGTGGGCCTGAATTAAGGTATGTACAGTGGGCATAGGAAGGAAGGTTGATGCAAGATATTGCATGGAAAGAATCAGTTGAACTTGCAGACGAAATTAAAAGTGGGAATTGTGGGAAGGGGTGAACCAAAGTGACTCTCAGCTTCTAGAGTATGGCTACTTGGGATAAAGACAGTGCCACTGGCATTAACGGTGAGAACAACGATGATGAGTTACTCAAGTGGAATTGTCTAGGACATGGGTGGGATGGAAATTTAGTAATCTAATCCCAGTATATAAATTTGAGACATTCAATAGGGGTTGGAAGTATAATTCAATTTTGACCAGTTACATACAAATTTTAAAAACATTGCTATGCCTTCTATAAGAGTATATGATATTTCCGAGCATATGTATATGGTGAGAGAAGAGCGGAGAGTTGAGGACTTAACTTGGGAACTTCAGATAATTCACAATTAAAAAGATGAAAATGGCCGAGACCGGTTTGGCTCAATGGATAGAGCGTCGGCTTGGGGACTGAAGGGTCCCGGGTTCGATTCCGGTCAAGGGCATGTACTTTGGTTGTGGGCATATCCCCAGTAGGGGGTGTGCAAGAGGCAGCTGATCGATGACTCTCTCATCGATGTTTCTGACTCTCTATCTCTCTCCCTTCCTCTCTGTACAAAATCAATAAAATATATATTAAAAAGATGAAAATGGACAGAGAGCCAGTAAGAGTGAGAAATGGGAAGCGGAAGTCATTTAAGAAAGAGGAGAACAAAGTAATGTAGACTAATAAGGTCCGCAGGAGGAGGAAATTTCAAGAGGGAAGTTAAGAGGATGAAAACTGAGTGAGTGCTGAGGGATCTGACCATAGGAAGTAATTCGTGATTTTCATGTGACCAAGTATGAGTGGGCACATAATAACTATTTTCCGTAATTAAATCCAGCAAATGTTCATTAGCTGCCACAGACGTTTCCCCCCTCATCTTTCTCAGACTGAGCAAGGCTTCCCGAAGGTCAACCTCTATTAAATGTGGTTTTGTCACCAAACCAGTTCGGTGCTGGGGGCTGCCCCTGCCCCTGCAGAGGCTGGGACCTCCAGGCTCTTGACTCACAGAGGAAATAATTCAGAGCAAGTCCAAAGGAGAGTAAAAGCAAGTGTTACTCAGGGCAGGAAGAAGAGACGAGGTCTTAGGCTCCTGGAGACAGGCTCAGAGGTCGAGCTGCCTGCTGCCCCTCTGGCTGTCGGTGTCACAGAGACAAGCTAAAGCTCACTTCCACGTGGACGTCAGTTCTTGGGATTTTGTGCATTTCCAAGGGCGGGTCGTTTCTGAACTTCTGACTCAGTCCTCTGGTTGGGGGTGAGGGTGTGTGGGTGTCTCCTAAAGCGGCTCATTGCGGAAGCGGATCATGGCGTCAGTCCTCTTCAGCCCTCCTTCACCGAGTCCGTGTTCGTTATCGGATGGCAGAGTGGCCTTCGGGGTTGTTCTCCGGTCTGTTTTTCTTCCATCTTGGATTGATCAGGTTTTAGCCAGTTCTTGTTACTGGTGACTTCTGCGGCCAGGAGCTTCCTGCCATAAACTATCCCCTTTGATCATGCGTTGGGGTGGGGGCTGTGGGGAGAGGGCTTCCTCGTTCCACTTGTCTGGAGTTTTCCCTGACTCCTTTCCATCCCGCCTGTTCCTTTTGAGTGACAGGGTGTTAAACCTTGGTGCAGGATTGATTTATAAAAGGAGCTAAAGAAGCCAAAACCAGTTTGGCTCAGTGGATAGAGCGTCGGCCTGGGGACTGAAAGGTCCCAGGTTTGATTTCGGTCAAGGGCATGTACCAAGGGCATGTACCGGTAGGGGATGTGCAGGAGGCAGCTGGTCCATGTTTCTCTCTCATCGATGTCTCTAACTCTTTATCCCTCTCCCTTCCTCTCTGTAAAAAAATCAATAAAATATATTTTAAAAATAAAAGTAAAATAAAAAGGAGCTAAAGAAGAACCATCCTTTTCGCTGACCTGAAATTTGGGTCTGTAGTATAATATTGGCCAATGGGAATAATTTTAAGGAGTTACTTCCCTCTCTTACAGACTCTTATTCAGTCATATTATGCTAATTGCTGACTGGCCCAGACCAAATTCTAACAAAATATGGTACTATTTAAAGGTCATCATTTAGGCTTGAAGTTTGGATCATATATATAGATATAGATTGCTTTTGGGACTGAATCTTTGAAATTTAGCTAGGTCTAGAGAGATTTTTTCAGCGTAAGCTCCATTTCTACTCAAAATAGCCCTGTAGTAGCTGTAAAGAAAGTAAATTAAACTTATAATAACTGACCTTTTGGGTGGTGCCTAAAGTTGGTTTTCACAAGATGTCCCTTCGTTAAATACTCACCAGTTTCATCACGAAGGTTCAGCTATTTGTGGCTCAGCTGAAGTAAGTGTGATCATTTCACTTCTCCAAACGTTGCTGAGCTCCAACTGTATGCTCGGGGCTCTGCCACGGATGGAGTCAGCCCTCGCGATGCCAAAAGGGCCGAAATGGAATTTGGCTAGTGGAGAAGGAAAGTGCGGGGACTAGAAAAAATTATCAATATTTCTGCCTTCTAAGTTCTTACAGGCTGGGCTAATAACCAGATTGACAAAGACAGACTAACAGGAGAAAATCAAAGTGTAATACATGTGCATGAGGAATTCACATAGGCATTGGGACTTCCATGAAAATTCCAAAAACGTGAGGCAGCCTTGGGTATATATAAGGCATTTTCGGACAAACGAGAAAGCGGGGGGAACTGGGTATTAGATTTCAGAAGTGAGAACGGGCGACTCAGAAACCCTCTATTTATCACACTCCATTCAAATGAGGCGAAGGGGAACATCCTAAGATCTCCTTCCTGAAGCAGGTTTCTCTGTCTGAATCTCTTGGGCGGGAAAGGGAGGAGCGCCAACGTTTCTTTCTGAGTCTTGTTTCTTAAGAAACAGCTTCGAATTAATATCCCCAAAAGGCGGCCTCAGGGTGGGGAAACTGGTTCCTTCCAAAGCTCTCTGGCGACAGCTCCTCAGCTGTTTGCTCTGGGAAGATTTCATTGTTGGCATTTTATTACAGAAGCTGAAAAGACTCGCCATCAAGTACAAGACAGACAAAACCTATCCCTCAACGGTGGCTGAGAGGCCCAGGAACATAAAGAAGAACAGATACAAGGATATCTTGCCCTGTGAGTTTCATTTCTCCCAATAGGCTTGTACCTTCTCCCGGATTCAATTATCCCCGTCTCTTTTCACCCATTGCTTGGTGTCCTTAGTCCTGGACCATGGCTTTGTCAAGTTAGTTTGTACTATTTATGACCATCAAAGAACATCCATTCATTCATTCACTCACTCATTCACTCACTCATTCCTCAAACCACCATTCACAGTGTTAGACCCTGACTTACACACAGCCCTCTGATTAAGTCTCCTTACTGATCCTCTGGTTTTCTTTTGTGTTACAGATGATCATAGCCGAGTAGAGCTGTCCTTGACAACCTCTGATGAAGATTCCAATTACATCAATGCCAATTTCATTAAGGTACACTCCATATTCTCTAGGCTCCTAAAGAGGGAGGGGGCTGGGGTAGGAAGTATACTAGACAAGGACGAAGGGTGTTAATGGTAGTCACCGCATGTAATTTCTGTTCCCCTCTAGGGAGTTTATGGACCCCAGGCTTACATCGCCACTCAGGGACCTTTGCCCACCACTCTCCTGGATTTCTGGAGGATGATTTGGGAATACGGTGTCTTGGTAAAAGCAGAGTTATTTTTGTTACTATCTTTTCTCACGTTTAGGGACAGAAGGGATGAGGGCATCAGAATATGTTATTGAGGTTTCCTGTGTATTAAAATAGTGCTTTTTTGGGTCACACATTAGAATTTCGGGGCTCCGGTACCTTTTAGTCAAAATCACGATGTCACTCTTCAAGGAATTGAAAGTTCTCATCTTGACAGGCTCATTTGTTAGTGAGAATTTGCTGATTTGACTAGAGAAAAGGGAAGTGAGGACAGAAAGAAGGATGGGTAGGATCAACAGCTTGTCATTGAGCAAGATTTCTTTTTTGGATAAAAAAACAAAAACAAAAAACAAAACAGAAGCCCAGCCGGTGTGGCTCAGTGATTGAGTGCCAATCCATGAACCAAGAAGTCACCAGTTCAATTCCCGGTCAGAGCACAGGCCCAGATTGTGAGCTTGATCCCCAGTAGGGAGCTTGCAGAAGACAGCCGATAGATGATTCTCCCTTATCAATGTTTTTACTTCTCAATCTTTTGCCCTACTCTTCCTCTAAAAAAGCAATAAAAACATTTAAAAAATAACAGAAAAGCATAATGAACACTTCCTGGCCCTGGAACCCAAGCATTTAGCACTCTTTCTAACTATAGCAACAGTCAAATTTCTATCTATTTCCTCCCCCAGATCGTTGTTATGGCCTGCATGGAGATCGAAATGGGAAAGGTGAGTTCTTTCCGGTATCCCTAAAGGTAAAGGAAAGAAGACAAGGAACGGGGAACTGGTAGCAAAGCTTTCCTTGAGCTGCCAAACGAAATTATTCTCAAGGCTTTTTAAAATTTTATTCCGAAGGATCCCTTTTGTCCATTTCCCCAGTAGACTGTATTTTAATAAAACTGAGGTATGCTTTTATTTTTTATTTTTATTATTATTATTTTTTTAAAAAAATATATTTTATTGATTTTTTACAGAGAGGAAGGGAGAGAGATAGAGAGCTAGAAACGTCGATGAGAGAGAAACATCGACCAGTTGCCTCTTGCACACCCCCTACTGGGGATGTGCCCGCAACCAAGGTACATGCCCTTGACCGGAATCGAACCCGAGACCTTTCAGTCCGCAGACCGACGCTCTACCACTGAGCCAAACCGGTTTCGGCAAAACTGAGGTATGCTTTTAAAAGTAGCCATTCATCTTCCTATTTTATTAATCAGACATCTCTAACTGCCAGTCAGAGCTTCTAACCCCACGCTGTCCAGCATGGCATCCACTGGCCACACACTGCTACGGAGCTCTTGAAATATGACCAGTGTGACCGAGGAACACAATTATTTTTATTTTAATGGATTTCATTTTAAAAACTGATACTGAATTCAGTGGTTAGAAAATTTTAAGTATGTTTGGAACAACTTTGGTATGTGAATCTTTCCTAACTATAAATTTTGTGAAATCTAAATGGGAATAAGCTATTTCCAATGACAATTTAGCATATTCACTGAGATGTGCTATGAATATTAAAAATGCACTGGGTTTGGAAGACAGTTTAAAATGTCAAATATTTGCCCAAACCGGTTTGGCTCAGTGGATAGAGCGTCATTGGCCTGCGGACTGAAAGGTCCCAGGTTCGATTCCAGACAAGGGCATGTACCTTGGTTGCGGGCACATCCCCAGTGGGGGGTGTGCAGGAGGCAGCTGATCGATGTTTCTCTCTCATCGATGTTTCTAACACTATATCTCTCTCCCTTCCTCTCTGTAAAAAATCAATAAAATATATTTAAAAAAAATAAAAAATAAAATGTCAAATATTTAATGACTGTTGTATATTGATCTCATGTTGAAAATTTTTTGACACATTGGCTAAGTAAGATTATTATTAAAATTAATGTCACTTTTTTCATTTTTGAATGTGGCAATTTGAAATTTTGGAAAATTTAAAATTACATTATACTTCTATTGAGCAGCATTCTTCTAACCCATTGTTGCCATTATGAGTTGACACAATTCCAGCAAAACCATGGGACCTTGGTGTTTCAGTTCGCTTGTGCAACTCTTAGTAGTAGACATGACTTCTGTTAATCTTGCTGAAATACTGGAAATGTCAGATTCCCATTTCTACTTTTTCAGGCTTCTAAGAAGTCTGTAATTTAAACAGTCTTTAATGTTTGATTCCCCATCCTTGGAGATTCCAGACCACATAGTTGGGTTTGAAGGCCAAGGGGATTGGAAGTTCCTCAGGTGAAAGACACAGAGCTGGATTTGCTTCTGAATGAGGGAGCGGGCGTTGTTGCTCAGAAGAGACTAGAATGTGCAGAGGGAGGTCACTGTATTCTGCTTTGTGCTGCAGAAAAAGTGTGAGCGCTACTGGGCGGAGCCGGGAGACAGGCAGCTGCAGTTCGGCCCTTTCTGCGTCTCCTGTGTAAGTACCGCACCTGTTTCCGTGTGGCCGAGCCAGTGCTCCAAGCTCTGCTCTGCAGAGTGTAGTTTTTGAATCTTAGTCTTTGAAAAACCTACTATTTTAATTTACTTTTTAGGAAGCTGAAAATAGAAAATCTGATTACACGATCAGGACTCTGAAAGTCAAATTCAACAGTGTAAGTACCGGTATAGAAATTCAAAAGCCGACAGAGATTAGGCGAGGGGATGTATATGTGACTCGGGCTGGGCGTAAGACAAAGGGGAGTGATGAAGCCTCTGATATTTTGGGAAAATCTTCATATTAAAATGTAATCTGGTGTAACCTGGGCTCCCCAATCTGTTCCACACCGTGGCCACAAATAATAGTTTTTGTAGGGTGAGTGGAGGCTGCACAGTGAATAGAGCCTGCGAACCAATTTGAGAACTCAGGCCGCCCGGTCTTTCGAAGACAAAGGAATTTAGTATATCAGCATATCTGTGACCCAGTTGAGAACCTCTGGTTGGACTATCTTTGTGTCTACCTCTTTTGATTGGGCCAGATAGGGACAGGCCAATAGTAAGTCACCTGAAATTACTTAATTGTTCTTCGAAGGTATATGGCCACCAGGGTCTATAGAGAAGAAAGCAGCATAAATTACAGAAAATGTTGTGGAGCGAATGCGAGTGAATGACAACTGGAGTCCAGAACAAATTAAAATTTAGGGAGCCTTTATTAGCTGGCCGGCCGGCCAGCCAACCAGCAGGCAACTGCTCTGCCTTTCTCCACGCAGGGAGTCCAGAGAGCAGCAGTGACCCTTTGTGTGGGACCACTTTTAAGCCCATTAACCACATCCTGTTTTTTGCAGAGCAAGAAACCCAAGACAAAACAGTTTTTCCTAAGCAATGTCAGAGTCATGCCATTGACGACCATGTTATTCACAGGGTCATCCTGTTCCTCAGAAAGCTGACAGTGATCCAGGAAAGAAGGCCTACGTGCTGGGAAGGGGCCATGAGACTGTATCTCAAGGCCTGGCCTGGTGTCAGCACTGACAACTCTATCTGGGGCATAGACAACAGCCTCTCTTGGAAGCATGCTCAAAAATTCCCACTTTCCAACAAAAAGATAGATGCTACTTAGTAACTCAGAGTAAATCTTGTGGTGGAATGAGGTAGAATCTTAACCTTGAACTCTTCTTTTATTCTGGCTATTTTTTTTAGGAAACTCGAACTATCTACCAGTTTCATTACAAGAACTGGCCTGACCACGACGTGCCTGCCTCTATAGACCCTATCCTTGAGCTCATCTGGGACGTGCGGTGTCACCAGGAAGATGACAGGGTTCCCATATGCATCCACTGCAGGTCTGATGCTGTTGTGTGAGCCTCCTCCCCAGAGTCACCCACGCGTCCTGGTCTGGCCAGGACTCTTGCTCTAAGTGAAGGGAGGCTGACTTTGTTGGAAGGGAAGGTGGGGTGAGCACATAGGACGTAGGCTCCTGATCCTCGCTTCACTTTGTCCAGTTGACCAAAAAGGAATGAAGCAAAAGAAGAGAAAGGTCACAGCAGAAAAAAGAAAAAAAGAAAAACACACACACAAAAAACTGTAAAAAAGTCAACATGAGAATTAAATGAATACTTTTCTGATAAGTTGCTTGTGAACAGGACAGCCCTAGAGACTCTTGCTGTGAGCAGTTGCCCAGGACCCAGCCTGAAGTTCAGGGTGGCGTGTGGCAATTTGCAAACAGGTTTGGGAAATGGTAGCGTTTAGAAAGTTTTATTGCCTCCAGGTTTCTGACTTCCGCAAATCTGCTGGGGAAATTGTCCAGCTACTGTCAATGACCCTCTGTCTGCAACTACCAATGCTCCGACTGTGATCTTTTATTTCAGTGCCGGCTGTGGCAGAACTGGTGTTCTCTGTGCTATCGATTATACGTGGATGCTGCTAAAAGATGGGGTGAGTTTCTCTCGGCAGGCACCTTCCATTGGTTTACCCTTCTACTTTCAGACTTTGGAATTGTTTGAGTCTTCGAAACTCCTACCTCCACAATTCATCTTCTCTAGGATGCTGACGGGTAGACATGCTTTGTTGGATGCTCAAACTAGTTCCTACGTTGGTGGTTCTCAAAGTGTGGCCCCAGACAAGCAGCGTTCAGATCAGCATCACCCGGGAACTTGTTAGAGGTGCACAGTGGTAGGCCCCGGGTGGGATGGACTGAAGCTAAAGCTCTGGGTTGGGCCCAGTGACTCTCCAGGTGCTTCCTCTGCAATGGTGTGGTTGGAGGCCATTGCCCTGTGTGACAATCCCCTTCCTGTAGCCACACCGCTCCATTTACAATCAAACTTTGTGTCCCAACACACGTTTAATAAGAGATGGGAAGTTTAAGATAAGGGCCTTAGAACTATCTGCCAACTTCTTTTTTTTTTTTTTAAATATATTTTATCGAATTTTTACAGAGAGGAAGGGAGGGGGACAGAGAGCTAGAAACGTCGATGAGAGAGAAACATTGACCAGCTGCCTCTTGCATAGCCCCTATCGGGGATGTGCCCACAACCAATGTACATGCCCTTGACCGGAATCGAACCTGGGACTTTTCAGTCCTCAGACCGACGCTCTACCACTGAGCCAAACCGGTTTCGGCTGCCAACTTCTTTTATTTCATAAAACTCATACGTGCCCATCTACTGAGCCTTCTTCATTTTACCTCTAACTTTAGACATTTGATCACCACACGTGAAATCATTATGAAGACTTTCTTCAGTCTTTTCTAGGGCAAACAGCAGGCTGTCAATCATGATGCAAGTGATAAGAATCTTCATTAGTTTTAAAAATACTTCTATTTTCTGATATCATCCCATGTTTGGAGAGCAGATATCATGGAGGTATCAAGACATGAGTATCATGGATCAAGTATCAAGAAATGGCAATAATTTATTAACAAAGATAGAAACAAAGGAGTAAGATATTTTTTCCTTTTATTTATAGATAATCCCCTCGAACTTCAGTGTTTTCAATTTGATTCGGGAAATGCGAACACAGAGGCCTTCGTTAGTTCAAACTCAGGTATGGACTGCGGTGAATGGATCATAACACGTGTCTGGGTCTTACTCCACCTTTCTGTTTAATAGGAAGGCATCCAAAACCAGCTGACTTCTTAGCCATAACCAGATTTACTACCCTGTTTCCCCGAAAATAAGACAGTGTCTTATATTATTTTTTTTTCCCAAAGTTGCGCTAGGTCTTATTTTCAGGGCATGTCTTATCTTTCCACGTGCTAGGTCTTATTTTCGGGGAAACACAGTATTAAGCACATTAGTCCATTCCCATTTTCTCCAACTCTAAATATCCCAGTATTTTTTTCTGCAGACCCTTGCCCTTGGTCAAATTCCATTCATTCCTTGTATTTTAATTCCCAAAAAATATTGAGAAACCAATATAATATTTTTTACAAAAATATGTTAAAAAAAAAAACACCTAAAAATCTCAACAAGTTGTTTAATTCCTTAGAATGAAATTGTTGGGTCATATAAATTTGAAACTTTGTAGTAGTAATGTATGTCTGAAACCATAGAAAATCAGAGATTTCTACTTCAGTAGGTGGTAACAGAATCTTCAAGCATGCAGTCTGTGCTCATCTTAGGAAATAATGAAAAACGAAAGTAAAATCAACCATCATTCTATCACCTACGTAGCCACTGGCCCTATTTTTCTATAGTCTCTCCTGGTCCTTATTCTATGCATACTTTAAAAAAATAATTACAATCACACTGTATATATGATTATATATGTATCACAAAATTTGAACCCAGCCCACATTGCTCACACTCATTCACTCCATTAGTAATGCTCTTCCCCTTTGCTCCTCTCCATTCCACGTTCAAGTTCTCCCTCCCAGGTGAAACAGTCCCAGCCCGAATCTCTCACTTTCTACAATATTTCATTTCACCCATATTTACTCACCAATAATTTTACCCACATAGCTAAATGGTCTCCATTTTGAAGATACAGTTTATCATTCACCCCATTCATTCATCCATCACACATTTATTGATATTAGGTATCAGACACCCTTGCATAATTTCTTAGAATTACTTCTTACTGCTTAAATAGCAAAATCCTAATATATTTAAGCCAAATTAACTGACACATAGGTTTAGAAGTAAAACGATTGACAGTGCGATTCAGATATTTTCATCTAGAAGCTGTGAATTGAAGGGAAAAATGAAGAGCTATTATAATATAAACATTCTGTTTGGCCCACACAGGTTTTCCACTAATAGCTAGTGGAAAAAATAATTTTTTTCATGTGTTGACCTTAGATGTGTTCTATATTCAATCTGTGAAGGGGAAAGTTTATGTGAAATGAAAGCTTTGACTAGTTTAGGGCTGTCAGAGTTAAGAGAAGGCTGTTCCATGTCAATGTATACAATCAAGTTGTATAATATTAAATTATAATACTGAATCAATCAATAAAACCATACCCATTTCAGAAAAAGGCCAAATCAGACCTATTTCTGAGAGTTAGAAGATAGCGGAAATAATTTTAAATTAGTCTTCAGATTTTGGCTTTATCAATGACTAGTGGAACAAATATCTTACCAGCTGTACCTGCTTTTTCTGACACTACTCTAGCCAGGAAATAGCGCAGTAACCAAACAAGTGTTTCCTGTGTGATTTTTCTCTATTCTTAAGAAATGTAAAGAGTGTACCAATGGTCATGATGACTGATATAGACTGTTCATTGTGCTCCCGCTAAAATTATCTTTAGAAAAAGCTGTGCTTTATTTGGATAAGGTCGTGTAAAGAGTCGGGGGAAAACCCTGAATAGGCCCATTCAGATGAAAAGTAGATACAAAATCAAGTGTTTGAGCAGGTACAGAGGCAAAAAAGGAGTAGTAAAAACCTAATAACATTGTAATAGAAGGGAACTCATTTCTCTGTAATGAAATCATTTTATAACCATAAATTTTCAAACTCTATTCAGCAGTCTTCTTTGATGTCTTTGCTAAGTTTGATCTCCGTGCTCTAAACTGAAGTCAGAAGATCCGGGTTCTAACTCAAGTTCTGGAAATTACTTCTGAATGACCTTGGACAAATAATCTATAAACAGGATGACAGCCTAGCTTGCTTATAGGTCAATTATAAGGGTCAAATTAAATGTTACATATTAGAACCATCTATCTACCTACCAACCATAATCTGTCTACCTTTTTTAGAAAAGGTAAAGGTGGCTTGCACACACACAAAAGTGCATCCAAATTAAATAAAAATGTTAATACATGAGCAAGGAAAACAGAAATAGAGGGGTGAAGATGGAAGGAAAGGTAAGTAAGAAAAGGGGGTTAGAACACAGAAAACTTGCTGCAAGTTCCTTCCTTGTGCATTAATTAGAGGTAGATCAAATATTTAGCTGTTCCTAGCAGCATGAAAGTGCTCTGGTATCTACAACGGGCTATTCAAGCATAAGGCCCTGTCATTGAACTAATGTGAATGGTCTTTTCAGGGTTGCTAGCCCAGGATTTGATTGGTGTTCATATTTCTGAAATCAGGTTCTGTAACTCACCACGGTTTTTTTTGTGTGTTTTTTTGTTTGTTTGTTTGTTTTCCTTTGTTCCGGTTTGTGGCGCTCCCCAGGAACAGTATGAACTGGTCTACAAAGCCGTCATAGAACTATTTAAGAGGCATATGGAGGTCATCAGAGATAGATACTCTGGAACAGAGGTAAACTTCAAACGTGACATTTTGTAAATTAAAAAAAACACACACATTAGATTTGGTGAAGGGCCCTTAGATTAGTTACAGGACTTATCTTATTGCTTTTCATCACGACTAAACGGGAGTGTCCAAAGCGCATGCGCTGCACTGAGAATCTCCCATGGAGAAGACAAATAACTGAAGTATTTTAACTTAGAAAATTAGTCTTTTGGTGAACCTTTTGCATATAATTTTTAGCTAAATTTAGAAACAATAGGTGTGAAAGAGCCAGCTTCCCAGGTCTTAGACAGTTGTGTGTGAGTTAGAAATGAGTGACAGTTACAAAGTGAAACCAGAATTGAGTACTGATGTAATTTTTCAGGTTACGCTAGCCTCCTTTTTATTGCATGCAATTTTATTGCATGATCACAAGTTCTGATCATGTTTTAGAATATCCAATTTACTGACTAAAGGCCCACTCCCAACAACCCAACTGACTGGAGTCACAGCACTGTCACTGGGTTAAATTTGAATATTGCCTCCTTTCTCCAGCCAAAGGACCAGGAAAGGCATGGATGGCCCAGCAAGACATAAACTTTTAGACAATAACCACTCTACTCCAGCCAACACCAAATTTAAAAAAATGGTCTCCAACCCCATCCATGCGGGCAAAGGCTGAGTGCAGAGCCTGCGGTCCCCATCCCCACGAGACTGTAATGAAGGGCTGGGGTGGCGTTTGAAAGGTCAAGCAGAGAGCTAGGCCTCGCATCCGCAGTGGCCTGCGATGTGCTTCCCTGCAGTGCCGCTGCAGACCACACGGGGAGCTGAGCTTCCACCTGGCAGAGGTGCGGCTCCCCATGCCTCCCTACTGAGGGAAGGTCAGGAGAGACCTAATGGACAGACAGCCAGGACTGTCACCATCATCCGGCTAACAATGACATGGGAGCCTCTCCCATGATCTCTCCCCTTGAGTATCAGCAGGTGAAGTGCGGAGGCTGGTGGAGGTGGAATCCGCCTGATAGTAACAAGTCAGCAGCACCCCTCCTCCTGTCAGAATGGAGTGAAAACAAAGGAGCAGCTGAAAGAGAAGGTTAAACTAAGATCCAGATCAGATCTCAAACCAAGTGAACAAAAGATCCATAGATGGTAACACTGAGCTGGCAGAGATGTGAGAATTATCTGACAAAGATTTTTTTTTTCTTATTTTATTTTGACAAAGATTTTAAAGCAGCCTTGATAAAAATGCTTCAGTTAGCAACTACATACATGCTTAAAACAAATGACGAAAAAAAACAACAAAAAAACACAACAAATAAATAGAAAGGCTCAGCAAAGAAATATAAAGACTCGGAAAAAAGAAAAAAGAAAAAAAAAAACACCCAGAAAATATAAAGGAGAAATGAAATTTTAGAACTGAAAAATATAGTAATGAAACAAAATAGATTAGTAGATAGGCTCAATAAAAAATGTAGGGTACAGAAGAAAGAATGAATGAATTGGAAGATAGAACCATAGAAATTGTCCAACCTGGACAACAGAAATAGAATAAAAAAACAAAACACAGAACCTTAGGGAAGTAAGGAACTATAACAAAAAGCTTAGCATTTGTGTCATTGAAATCTAAGAAGCAGAGGAGAAAAAGGCAAAGCTATAAACGTACTGAAAGTTTCATAATAATTAAACCTCTGAATCTGAAGACAAAGATTATAGAAAGCAGCCAGAGGAAAATGATCTTAACTGTAGGAGGAAATAATTAGAATGACAATGGATTTGTCCTCAGTAACCATGGAGGCCAGAAGGAAGTAGCACAATATTTTTCTGGTTCTGAAAGAAAAGAATTCTCAACTCAGAATCCAAACCCAGTGAAAATCTCCTTCAGGAATGAAGGGGAAATCAAGACATTCTCAGGTGAAGAAAGACTAAGACATTTTGTCACCAGTAGATTTACCCTAAAAACATAGCAAAGGAAGTTTCTTAAACAGAAAGGAAATTATGAAAGAAGGAGGAACATGGTGAGCAAAACACACCGGTAAACGTAATAGGTGTTCCTTCTCTTAAGTTTTCTAGATTGTTTGATGATTGAAAACTATAACACTATCTGGTATGGTTTCAAATAAGATCAGTTCGTGATATCAGGGGTATGTTAAATTTTAACATATCCTTTTGAAAGTCACAGTTAAACCCATAACAGGTGGAGTCTTACAATTGCTGATGACTTAAAAAAAAATTTTTTTTTTTTACATTTCAATGTCTCTGAAATCAAGATAGAGTTTTCAATCAGTGGTGTCTTGGGTTCCATGAGCCACAGCAACAAAATTCTTAACGTGATAATTGCTGGGAAGAAAATAAGGGTTGAGAGTGGCGGGGCACGTGTGTGGGAGAGTGACTGCAGGTTGCGCAGTCAGGGACGGTTTCCGCCTTCAGCTGACATGTAAGTGGAAAATAATTACTTAGAAAGAGCCAGCCATGCAAAATCTGGAGCAAGAGTATTTCAGCCACAGAGGACAGAGGGTGTAAAGGCCTTGAATTGGAAACGAGTTCAGTATGCTTCGGGAATGGCGGAAACAAAGGCAGCTATGGGGTAGGTATGGAAACCTAATACGCACCTGTTAACATTCAGGGTTCAGATGGTGAGATTTCTGATGGTGTTCTTAGGATTAGAGCTGTTTCCAGAACATTGTAAAACTCCCCCACTTTAAAAGGCGATTACGTAACTAAATCCTTTCTACTTTCTATAACACCGTCAACCCTTTGTTCTGATCCTTTTGGTCTCAGTGTGCGAACACGCTCTCAGTGTGTGGACATGCTCTGGCTGGGTGCAATATTTTGAAAACTCATCTCACTCTCTTATGAATTGTTGTAAATCTTTGCATTTTTCTGAAAAACAACTTTTTAGCCTTGTGAATATAAACTATCGCACTTTCATTGCTTCACTAAAAAGCAACCTCTTCTTTTTCTTGAAGATGCAAGCGAAGTATCCGGTTCCTGAGCAAAATCCCGATCTGGAAGCAAACGCCTATTCTCCTAATTTACCAAGAAGGTGAGTATGATTTTACACATCCATGTGCTTATCGGTGTGATGCTGGGGAAAAGCTCTGGAGGAAGCCTTCTGGGGTTATGGGTCACCATGATTCCTCTGGGGTTATGGGTCATCATTATTTCCTCTGGGGTTATGGGTCATCATTACTTCCTCTGGGGTTATGGGTCATCATTACTTCCTCTGGGGTTATGGGTCGTCATGATTCCTCTGGGGTTATGGGTCCTCATGATTCCTCTGGGGTTATGGGTCATCATGATTCCTCTGGGGTTATGGGTCCTCATGATTCCTCTGGGGTTATGGGTCATCATGATTCCTCTGGGGTTATGGGTCCTCATGATTCCTCTGGGGTTATGGGTCGTCATGATTCCTCTGGGGTTATGGGTCATCATTACTTCCTCTGGGGTTATGGGTCATCATGATTCCTCTGGGGTTATGGGTCGTCATGATTCCTCTGGGGTTATGGGTCATCATGATTCCTCTGGGGTTATGGGTCATCATTACTTCCTCTGGGGTTATGGGTCACCATGATTCCTCTGGGGTTATGGGTCATCATGATTCCTCTGGGGTTATGGGTCACCATGATTCCTCTGGGGTTATGGGTCATCATTACTTCCTCTGGGGTTATGGGTCGTCATGATTCCTCTGGGGTTATGGGTCATCATGATTCCTCTGGGGTTATGGGTCATCATTACTTCCTCTGGGGTTATGGGTCGTCATGATTCCTCTGGGGTTATGGGTCGTCATGATTCCTCTGGGGTTATGGGTCACCATGATTCCTCTGGGGTTATGGGTCATCATTACTTCCTCTGGGGTTATGGGTCGTCATGATTCCTCTGGGGTTATGGGTCATCATGATTCCTCTGGGGTTACGGGTCATCATGATTCCTCTGGGGTTATGGGTCGTCATGATTCCTCTGGGGTTATGGGTCGTCATGATTCCTCTGGGGTTATGGGTCGTCATGATTCCTCTGGGGTTATGGGTCACCATGATTCCTCTGGGGTTATGGGTCATCATGATTCCTCTGGGGTTATGGGTCACCATGATTCCTCTGGGGTTATGGGTCACCATGATTCCTCTGGGGTTATGGGTCATCATTACTTCCTCTGGGGTTATGGGTCGTCATGATTCCTATGGGGTTATGGGTCATCATGATTCCTCTGGGGTTACGGGTCATCATGATTCCTCTGGGGTTATGGGTCGTCATGATTCCTCTGGGGTTATGGGTCGTCATGATTCCTCTGGGGTTATGGGTCGTCATGATTCCTCTGTTTCGGCAGCATGAGAGAAGCAAAAGCGATGAACCGCCCGAGCCAACAGAGGACTCCGGTGAGAAATGCAGAAGCCTCTTCCTTTGGGCCCAGGACTTGGGAAACCAGCGGACAGGGCAGGTTCGCCCTGCACCCTGCCAACCAGAACCGTTCGCTTGAGTTTCTGGAGCTGAATTACGGCTGTGACAGAAATGCTGGCGCAGCCATGACCTGGGAGACGGGGGCATTGCCAGCGGCGGGGGAGCCCCTGCAGAAGTGCCCGAGCCTGGACCTGAGCTGGGCCCTGCGGGGAGCGGGCCCCGGCTCCGAGCCTGCGGCGGCCGCAGGAAGGCCCTTCGGCGCCAAGGGGCCCATCACGCGGACCAAGTCCACCCCCTTCGAGCTGACCCAGCAGACGGACCCCGGCGAGCTGGGCGTCAAGGAAGACTTTCCCCGTCTGGCCTCCCTGCCCTGCAGCTCCCGCCTGCGGCCGGCCCGGAAGGCCCTGCACGTTTCCTCGGCGGAACTGAACCGCTCGCTGTCCCCGGACCCGGACCCCGGGCCCCGTGGGTGCCAGGCCCCGGGCGCCAGGGCCCTCCCCGCCCGCTCCCACGGGCCTTCGGCAGATGCTCCTCATTCCCCATCGTCTCCCAGAAGCGCCGGCTCGAAGATGTCTCTGGATTTCCCCGAGGAGCAAGCTAGAACCCTGTTACCTTCCACGTCGCTGCCCACAGCCTCTGCAGCCCCGTTTTCTTATTATGACCCGGATGATTCTCCGGCACCGAGCCTGCCAACCCATTTCCCCTCCACGCTGAACCGAGAGATAGCCGACGGTGGTGAGTTATTTTTAAAAGCTTACACGGCACCTTATTTTTTTTAAAAATTATTTATGGTTGGACGTATTATAGCGGTCTCCCTCTATCCCCCATGGGCCCCTTCTAGCCTGCCCCGGCCCCTGCCCTGGGGCTTCACCACTCAGCGTCTGTGTCCGTGGATGATGCATGTGTGCATACAGGTGGTCTGGCTGATCTCTCTCCATCCACCCACCCAAGCCCACCTCCCCTCTGAGATTCAGCAGCCTGCTTAGATGGCATTTTAGATTTCACTTTGTTTCTACAGAAGGTTTGGTTTCTCCTCACCCTCCCCTTTGTCCTTCTCTGCTTCCTTCTCCTTCTCAGAAATAAATGGCAGGAGTGTTTTGATGCTGTGATAAGCTGAAAATAGCAAAAACAAACACGTAACATTCCCTGATCCACCGTCTATGCCAGGGGTGGGAAGCCTCTTTTTCTGCCGAGGGCCATTTGGATATTTATAATATCGTTCGCCAGTCATACAAAACTATCAACTCAAAAATACACTTGGTCAAACGTTTAATTAACTCAGCCCTCATGCCTTGGCAGGGCCAGACCCAATACATTATTTCGCCAGCTTTACGTGGGCCAGACATTCCCCAGCCCTGATAGGAAGCCAACAGGAGTGCTTTTAAATAAGGCCGTTCTCATTCCTGGAAATGCATAGGAAAGGTCTGCAATTTCCCCTTAACACACAGAAGCAACTACCACAGGAATTTAAGAAAAGATTCGATCTATGGCACCACATGGTCACTCAGAGCTTTTACGGCCCGGCCATGTGGCTGTCCTGAGCGGAACAGAGAGCTCAGTGTTACAGTCTCCTGCTGGGGCTGGGGCAAAACGAGGACCTGACTCCCTCCTGCCCTTTTATAACAACTTAGTAGGTGAGAATATGTGTTCCATAGCCTGTGTGGGATTTTTAAAAAAATACATATTTTTATTGATTTCAGGGAGGAAGGGAGAAGGACACAGAGAGAGAAACATCAATGATGAGAGAGAATCATTGATCAGCTGCTTCCTGCACGCCCCACACTGGGAAACGAGAGCCAGGGACCCAGGAGTGTGCCCTGACCAGGAAGCTTTTGGTTCATAGGTCAGTGATCAACCACTGAGCCACACCAGCTGGGCTCCGTGTGGGATTTTAGTCATATGTACACCTTCACTTCCATACTTTATTTTATAACTCTATATTTTTGCATATGATGTACCTTGTTTTACTGGGTGGTTTGATATTAGAAGTAAAGACCCTGTTAGAGATGATTATAAATTTGAAAAAGAAAGCAAAGAGTAAATTTAACTCTCTTAGGTGAATCATCAGGAATTTATTAAAAATGTTTTACCTGAATAGTTAGTAAAAAGAGCTTTTACGCTATACATTATTGTATAGTGTCTTTATAGATGTGTTGACATGTAGCTTTGTTGCAAAAATACCTTTTCTAGATCTATTTCCTGCTTTGATTAGGTTATTTTTATATATTTTGACCTTGTTTTGTAATTTAAAGGAATTTTGTTTTTCTAGGCACCTATAATATGTTAAACTCTCTGAACATCAATGTTAAAAAGACAAATCCTTAGCTTCAGGGATTGTAAGAACATTGCATGTGTGCCCTCTGGTGGCAGTTTCTTATAATAGCATTACATCTTACTAAGAAGGGCCTAGCTGGTCCTCACATCCTGGCACCATGCCCTCAAGTCATCACAAGATGGCCACCACCAGATGGCTGGCAGCGGAGGGCAGTTGGGGGCAAGATCAGGCCAGCGGGGGAGCAGTTGGGCTTCAATCAGGCTGGCAGGGGAGTGATTAGGGGGCGATCAAGCTGACAGGCAGAAGCAGTGCAGGGCAATCAGGCAGGCAGGCAGACGAGCGATTAGGAGCCAGTTATCCCAGATTGTGAGAGGGCTGTCCCAGATTGGAAAGGGTGCAGGCCAAGCTGAGGGACACTGCCCCCCCCCACACACCTCAGTGCATGAATGTTGTGCACCGGGCCTCTAGTTTTTCTATAAAAATTCTGAATATTTCTACAGAAATATAGAAAACCCTGGTACAACATTGTTTTTTTTTAAAGATAAAAAGACATACATATTCTTCATGCTTGTAGAATGAATAAGAGATACTAAAATCTTTATGATTTCACCAAGTCTGTAACTGAATCTCTGGCATATCGAAATGCTTTTACGATGCTGTATTGTATATTCTATGTAAAACGAAAGGAAAGAGTTATGTAATACTATTTTGTTAAGGTAGATGATACTCAGTGACTCAGTCAAAATACTTTTGGGCTTTTAACAAATAATACATTTTTTTATTTTTATTTTTATTTTTAATAAAAATTGTCAATGATCTTTTTTATTTATTTAATATATTTTATTGATTTTTTACAGAGAGGAAGAGAGAGGGATAGAGAGTTAGAAACATCAATGAGAGAGAAACATTGATCAGCTGCCTCCTGCACACCCCCGCACTAGGGATGTGCCCACAACCAAGGTACATACATGCCCTTGACCGGGATCGAACCTGAGACCCTTGAGTCCGAAGGCCGACGCTCTATCCACCAAGCCAAACCAGTTTTGGCAGAATTCATACATTTTGAAGAAGCATAGAGCTTAAGATAATATTTTTTGCTTTTTCCTTGAGTGAACCGATACCAGCTTAAACATTGTGACGGCGCTTGATGGGATTTCCATCAAGTTAAAATGTAAGGATTTTCTTTGGATTTTCCTAATTAGAAATTTTAATTCTACTTCTGACATTTTGGATAGCAACTTCTCCAAGAATAGACGATGAAAGCCCCCCTCCACTTCCCGAGCGGACCCCTGAGTCTTTCATTGTGGTAGAGGAAGCTGGTGAGTACAGTTCAGTAAGTAACACAAAGCTCACGTCCTCTCAGTGCTGTGCGTGCTATTGCTGAGTAACATTTGCTGGCTAAGAGAAGTATAACTCTCCTCAGAACTGGACCATACTTCCTTCCTTCCAGGAGAAGTCCCGCTGCGTGTGCCCCAATCCTTATCTTCCGCTGTGATGTCAGACATTGGAACATCTCCAGAATGCAGTGGAACATCTGAATCCAGCAAACCTGATGACTCGGTGAGACTTAGACAAATCAAGGTCCATAACTTCTTTTCTCTGACTCATTTGGATTCAAAGGACTCTAGTCCTACTCCTAGTATTTTTAACACCTACCAGCCAATAAATAGTAAGTAGATACTACTTATAAAACAGTGTGCTAGAGGACATTGGGGATAAAAAGATGTATAAGATCCAATTATTGCCCTTAAGAAACTCAGTCTAGCAGTGGAGATATAGGGCGTGTATACAAGTAATGTTGTCTATCTATAATAATAAAAGCACATTATGCCAATTAGACCAGACGGCCGAACAACCCTCCGAAAGACTTTCCGACAACCTTCCAGATGAAGCCAGGGCTGCGAGGACCAAGACCCTTGCATGAATTTTGTGCACTGGGCTTCTAGTTTATTATAACAAGGCAAATAAGACCAGGGTCACAGGAAAGAGAAGAGAGGTGAAAATGTGGGATAGCTTTCAGGTCAGAAGCGGAAAATGAAAACACAGAGAAAGTGGAAACATTTGAGCTGATTCTTGAAGGATAGTTAAATCAAAAAAGTAAATGTTTCATATGTAGGTAGCTTGTTTTCAATAGTCATGTGGTTGACTGTACTGTGCTAGCTGTGATAACATATTATAGAGAGTAAATTTTTGAGTGACACATGTCCATATTATTGAATTAAACCTTTTGGAATAATGTTCCCTGCCTCTGGAAGAAAACTCTATGCTTTCAACAATCAGTTACGCATTTGTATATATTCTATGAACCAACTCTCTTACAATTTAAGAGATCAGAAAAGTAATTCACTACAACATTTAAAAATGCCTACAATCACAATGCTGGTAGGCAAATGCTCTGTACCTTTTTAATTATACTTTTAATTTACTAGTAATTGTTATTATTATTGTTAATAATACGCTACATGAAATAGTCTTTCAATTAACAATTCCCAGAGAAAAGAAAATTCGTTCCTTTTCCAATGTCATGAAGTAATTTCAATTTCAACAATTTACCCTCAATTAAATTTTCAGGAAATGTTCTGAGTAGGAAGGAAATAGGTCAAAAGAGAATCAATTTAGGACCAACTGTCGTGACATATAAAAATCGCTGAGTTGATGCCTTTTCATAATTCTGCACGCTTACAAATAACAAAAAATGGGGTCAACATTTCATAACTATCTTTATTTGTGTATGCAACATAACTTCAAAAATGCCATGCATTGCTTTGAGTTTGTAAATTTGTGTACATGTTCTTTGTTCACTTTTCTTTTCTTTTTTTTTTTCTTTTTTAGTGTGTGAAACTCCAGAGTTGCATATCAGGTAAACACATTCCTGTGGCTTTCGATGAGATTTTAGCCCTCAGCATCTGCACTGTGAGAATGGCTCACTGAGTTCAGAGTAATTCACCTCAGGAGATGGCGTGCTTTCCTTAACGGGTTCCCCTGTTTATTGATCTATTTCTGGGTTTCCCAGGCGAGTTTTGCTTTGTCAAGGGCCAGGTGAAGACAGGGTTTTAGGATTCTGCTCCCTACTATATAGCCCCTTAAAAAAACTATTTCAGGTAGAATCTCTTAAAACTGCAGTGGTTCCATTGTATAGGTTTTGCCATTGTTTGTAACGTGATTCTAAAAATTATTTGCGGCCATTTAGATCTTTAACTTGCCATTGCTTCTACAGCACTTTCCTGAGCTTTGCTTGTCTTAGACATTGAGTAACAATATCAACAGCTTCCATGTACTGAGCACTAAGGGGTACTTTACATGCCCTATACCAGATGGTAGTTGCCCTTAACCTATTTCTTCATATTAACATAGTATTCACTTATAGGATTCATACTATCGGTAAATAGATAGTATAACATAGAGGTTTTAAAAATGGGCTTTTGAGTCAGACAGACTTTAATTCCAATCCCCACAGTTCCAATAGCTATCAAAATGTATAACCTTGGCTAAATGATGTACTTTATCGATTCTTCTCATTTATAAAATGTGGGAAATAGAACTCCTTTCTCAGAGGATTTCCACAAGGACTAAGTGTGAGGATGCACATGAAGCTTTTAGCACAGTGGTTGTCAAATAAACTCTCATTAAATGTTACCTATTATACTTTTTATTTGATAATTATTACGTCAGCATCTCCCAGGCAAGCTCCGGGGCCTTTTATTCTGTTAGGAGGACATATGAGAAAGGGTACTGCTAGGAAGACAGATACCATGTAAGTTCATGTATATGCGATTCTAAAGGACAAAATAAATGAACAAAACTGAAACAGACTCATAGATGCAGAGAATAGACAGGTGGCGGCCAGAGGGGAGTGTAAAAATGAAGGGATCAAGAAGTGCAGATAGTCACAGGGATGTAAAGCATTGGCAATATAGCCAATGCAAAAATATTGTAATAAGTACAATATGTATGGTCCCACGTGGGTACTGGAAATATCGGGGAGAACACTTTGTAAAGTGTATGATTGTCTAACCACTATGCTGTAACTTAAAAGTAATATAATATTGAATGTAATAAAAATGATATATTGTGATAACAAAAGATTTGCAAATTTGCAAAAAGGGTTCAATTTGAGCAAATCTGGCAAAATCTTGAAAATTGTTGAACTGAGTTTATGGAGATTAACTGCCCTATTTTTCTACTTTGAAATATATTCAAAATTTTTTCTAAAAGAAAGAGTACTGCTTAATACTCACATTCAAATTAGGTAGACAAAATTAACACTCATTTCAAACTATTACACGGTCATCTGTGTGGCCCTGATTATCGTCACCAGGAATCCAGAAAAAAGGGAGCTATCACCGGAGTGGTTAGGAAAGATTTCACTGAGTGGAAGGAAGCAGTTTAAGAATATGGATAGAGCCGAAACCGGTTTGGCTCAATAGATAGAGCGTCGGCTTGGGGACTGAAGGGTCCCCGGTTCGATTCCGGTCAAGGGCATGTACCTTGGTTGCGGGCATATCCCCAGTAGGGGGTGTGCAAGAGGCAGCTGATCGATGTTTCTCTCTATCCCTCTCTCTTCCTCTCTGTACAAAATCAATAAAATATATATATATATATATATATATATATATATATATATATATATATATATATATATATATAAAAAGAATATGGATAGTGAGAAAGGAGGGAATTCCAGGAGCAGGGGCTGGGTCACAGTGACTCAAAGGCACAGATAAGCCTGCGTGCGGAGAAATGGTGAGCAGGTTAATTTAATTGCAATGGAAGCCCTGCTCTGGGGAATACGGGAAGTAAATTGGGATAGATGAAGCGGGGGGAGGTTTTAAGGAGCTCAGACGCCAGGCAGAGGCGATGTCTAGCGCGGTGAACCTGCGGAGCAGGTGTGTGGCTTCAGGGCGCTCCGTGAGAGGGAGACACTCAGTTCAATCCGGCTCCGGCTCTGGAAAAACATCTCTGTCCGCGAGCTCCGGGGTGATGGGTGGGAGGCCGCAGAGCTGGAAGAACAGGGATCCTGGACTACCCGGTCATGGTCCAGACCGTTTCTTATGTGGTTGCTGTAGGTTAATACTGAAGCATCGGGAAAGTTACACAAAGTCCCAAAGGGGTGTTGAGACTCCCGGGCGGATGCGTCTGCTCACTGCGCCCTGTTCCCGCACAGATGGGCCCGCAGACCGCGGTTCGCCGCCCCCGCCGCTCCCGGAGAGGACGCGGGAGTCCCTCTTCCTGGCCGACGAGGACGGTACGTGCAGCGCGGCCTCCCCCGAAGTTACGGAAACGGGACCGTTAAAAGGCTAACGGTACAGTGGGACCTAAATGAAAACGGTGCAAGGAGCGATGGAGATAAAAATGATACATTTCAGAAGCCCATACTGAATTGTAGAAATAGTGCATAAAAAAAAAAAAAAAAAAAAGCCAGGAATGACGGCATGTGCCTCTATGAGCTCTGCAACAAATTATTATTATTATTATTATTATTATTATTATTATTATTATTATTTTTCTTTTTTAGATATGGAGGCTGAATCCATAGAGGTCAGCTGTCCCAACACCGGGGAAAAGTCAACATCTTCCAAACACACACTGAAGACTGGCAGATGTTTCACGAGGAGCAAGGTAGAAAAGGTGGACGTTTGTGGAACGAACACACCAGAGACTTCTCTTTACTGGAGGTGCCCCTGAGCCCCCACCCCTTCTTTCCCGCCAGCTGCCAGCGTTAAGATGGAAGATTACATTAAATAGCTTCGCTAAAATTGTTGGTCTCCTGACAATTAAAATAAAAGGAAACCAAAAATTAAAAAAAAAAAATACAACTTAGTTTAAAGCCTGCCTAATAAAACCATCAACTGTTTTTATATACCGGAATGAGACAAACTGACTCCAAAGTTCAGGGGGCGCGGCGGGGTGAAAAGAGCAAGAACGGCTGGTAAACTGCAAAAATTTAAACTGAAGTTACAGCCGTGGAAGGAGGGTCGCTTACCAGACATTAAACCATTGCAAAGCCCCAGTTATTAAAATGGCATGATATTGGTGCATGAAAAAACACATACCTACACAGCAGATGGGAAGTCCAGAAATAGATTTAAATATGCATATGAATTTAGTATATGATTAAGGATGGATGTTTTAATAATTGTTGTTGGCTGAATGGGATAAGCACCTGAAAAACACACACAAAAAACTAGGATCCATACCTCACAGCTATACCAGGATATACTTTAGATGGATAAAAGATTTAAGTGTTGAGAGAGAGAGAGAGAGAGGAGAGAATAAAGAGAGAAACAAATGAACAACAACAAAAAACCCACAAAAAAGTACTAAAGAAACTTGGAAAGTTTACTTTACAACCTGGGAGTGGGGATGACTCAAAATTCAGGAGCCATAAGAAGAGAGATTTATAAATTCTATTTTATTTAAATAAAATAGAAAATTTCTTCATGGCAAAAATAAATAAATAAATAAATAAATAAATAAACTTAAAATCAAAAGACCAGGAACAAACTGGAAAAAAAAATATCTGCAACTGGCATCATAGTCAAGGAGTTATTTTTTTTAAACGTATTTTTATTGATTTCAGAAAGGAAGGGAGAGGGAGAGAGAGATGAGAGAGAACCATTGATCGGCTACCTCCTGCACAGCCCCCCCTGGCCTGTGCCCTTGACTGGAATCGAACCTGGGACCCTTTAGTCCACAGGCTGACTACCCACTGAGCCAAACCAGCCAGGGCTATTTTCACCGAGTTCAAAATGGAAAAATGGATTTGTGCACTTGGTTGGCTCTTTGTAAAGGAAATTAATCCTTTTCGCTGACATCTGTATTTCTACTTGATAAAAGTAGTTTGGATTTCACACCAAAATTTTACACTTTCCTTTTCTTCATTTTTGCAGAGTTTGAAAATTTTGCGGAACATGAAAAAGAGTAAGCCTCTTCATACTTCTTTTTTAGAATATGTAGACTACTTTCATGATTATTTAATTCTCCCTTATATAACCACTCTGTGAAAAGTTAACATCATTCCTAAACAGAAGCTTGGTTGGGTCCTAGGCGTCAGATTACCCCCAAACCTTGTACTGTGTGGGCTCCACAGTGATAATCTAATACTGAATGCGGAGTGAAGGGCTGGGGGGGAGGGAGGGAGGGTGTGGAATAAGAGAATGAAATGCTTGTCATTTCTACTCATCCTAAGGTGCTGTCACCCAAGTGTGTTATTTAAAATTCCCAGTGGTCTAACCTCAGATGTATTTTCTTTGAAAAGTCACAGCAAAGCATATTGTGAAACAGATGGGTTGATTTAATAAAGGAAGCAAAGTATTGACTCATTTCTATTTTTACCAACTAGTAGCAATAGTCTGTTGCTTACTACTTTCGATACAATGTAATGAAAACAAGCTCAAAGACTCCTGAAATTGTGGGAGTGTGATTATCTTAGAAATTCTTATGTATAACTATAAAGTATGTAAAACATGGCGATACAGTTGTTATGTATATCTATCTATTTATTGATTTCAGAGAGGAAGAGACAGAAATATCAACAATGAGAGAATCATTGACTGGCTGCCTCCTGCATGTCCCACACTATGGATTAAGCCTGTAACACAGGCATGTGCCCTGACCGGCAATTGAACTGTGACCTCCTGGTTCATAGATCAGTGCTTAACCACTGAGCCACACTGGCCGGGCAATGGTGATATAGTTTTACAAATTTGATCCATTTGGTTAGTCATCAAGGACCAAACTGCTGTTGGTGTTATAGGAAGGGACAAAGAACACTGAGGAAACTTGATGTAAGGTATTATCCAAATGAGAAAGTTGATAGCCAAATCTTACTCTTTTCTCCTGAGTTTTCACTCTATCTTTCCATAAACTTGCGCCTTCTGCTGTCATTGCCACCACACTTAATCTCCGAAATGAACTGATTTCTTACCTATGATGACTAAGTATAATGGAAAAGCATGATGGCTAAAGCCAGTCAAGAGAGAATTTAAGCATTTCAAGAGGAGGAAGTTATAGTATAAAACAGGAGAACTAAACAGCTAAAAGCAATGAGTGACTTGAATAGCCAAAGATTGATTTGATCAGCTTAGCTTATGAAATACACAGGTTTCTTTTTCTAAAAGAACATATCAGTCTGGCCGGTTCGGCTCAGTGGTTGAGTGTCAACTTATGAACCAGGAAGACTTGGTCCAATTCCCAGACAAGGCACATGTCTGGGTTGCAGGCTTGATCCCAGTGAGGGGACTTGACGGAGGCAGCTGATAGATGATTCTCTCTCATCATTGATGTTTCTGTCTCTACCAGTGCCTAGCCCAATGCTTAGCATATAGTAAGTATTCAATAAATATATTTTTAATTGAATCGGACTGAAATTTAGTACGTATGTTAGTGATTCATTCTCAAGAACCTCCAGGAATGTACCTTTCTAGAATCCTGGTATTAGGTATGTGTATATGAACATACACAATCCTAACACTGCATTCTGAAAATGTTGAAAACAAAGCAAAAGAAATTTAATAATTTCTTATCTTTTTTCACTGCTAGACAATGACCCCACAAAATGTGGGACGTTTTCCCTGGATTGTTTTCAAAAGTGGGCAGAAACTGATGCCTCAATAGTAAGGTTCTGGGAAGAGAAATACTACATATTTTAAGCCTACCAAGAAGTAGCTAAATGGCAAAATAGAGAAAATAGTGCTTTGGGGAGATTCTGGGCCTAACTAGAACCATCTGTAATGGGGTCAAGGAGACTGGAAAGTGAAGAAAGATATTCCAGGAGTAGAAGATAGTGTAAGAAAAATCGCAGACTTTGCCATGGATGATCTACTGAGGGGAACAAATGATTTAAAAGTGTACTAGGAGCCCTAGCTGGTTTGGCTCAGTGGATAGAGCGTCAGCCTGAGTACTGAAGGGTCTCAGGTTCGATTCCGGTCAAGGGCACATCCCTGGGTTGCGGGCTTGATCCCCAGTAGGGGGCATGAGGGAGGCAGCCAATCAATGATTCTCTTTCATCATTGATGTTTCTCTCGCGCTCTCTCTCTCTCTCCCTTCCTCTCTGAAATCAATAAAAATATATTTAAAAAAATAAAAGTGTATTATGAATAAGGGTGTGCATGGTGATGGGTGGTGAACACACAATAGAATATACAGATGGTGTAGTATAGAATTCACCCCTGAATCCTATACAACCTTATTAGCCAATGCCATCACAATAGATTCAATAAGAAGGTAAAAAGTTATCTCCAGTTTGTCTTTATTCTTTTCCTCACATTTTTCCTTTTCATTCTAGGTCTCTGTAATTCTTCCTCACCAAACAAGCCTGCAGACTCTGTTCAGTCAAGTAACTCCAGTTCCTTACTAAATTTTGGTATGTGTGTTATTTGCCAGAAGAGTTCATGTTTACCCAAATTATTCTTTTATAGTATAAGATATACAACTTTAAATAGGATTTGAGGTTGCATGTATAGGTCCCTATATTTATATTCTTTTCCATGCAATTTATCTTTTTATTTTTGACCCCAGCTACTGCTTAACATCTTGCATACCCTTATGTATTCTATTACATGAAATTGCCTAGCGTTTGCAGAAAGTAAAGGCAGGTAACCAAATGGTTCAGATGTAAGCAACACATCAGTTAGTATGTGTCAGGCTTGGTGCTGGGTGCCTTAATAAATATCTCACTGATGCTCTCAGCAGTTCTGCAAGGCCTACCCACAATTTGTAAGATGATGATGCAAATGAAAGGCTCAGGAACATCTTTGAGCTTACCATTGTCTGTTCTCCTTTTGTATTTCAAATGTTTCATTGCTCACTTTGAACTCCTAAAGCTGCTAAGTGTAAGAGTACCTTCAAAATATCCTCCATCGAAGAAAAAGGAAGTCATATATTGCTGAATTGATGAAGAATCAACTGTCATTACTCTTCATATATTTTGAAAGGACACAGAAAAAAACCATCATTGGTTGTGCAAAATTTTCGCATCCTCCTTCTTTGGGATAGATGAGGGAGCAGTGTTTGAGGGAGAGATATAAATGACTAGCTACATGCTTAGTTCTCCAGGATTATTACTTTATTTTTTCTAAGCTTTTCAAATATAAGCTCTCAATAAATGGAGGCTTTCTGGGCTGAAGCAGAAATATGAGTGGATTTAATACAATTTATATATATAAAAGCCTAAGCAACTTAAAGACCGAATGACTGGTTGGCCGGTTGCTATGACAAGCACTGACCACCACGGGGGTGGGGGTGGGGTGGGGTGGGGGGGGCAACGCTCAATGCAGGAGCTTCCCCCTGGTGGTCAGTGCACTCCCATAGCCAACCTCCTGAAGCCCCTCCCCCTGCAGGTCAACCTTCTACGGCCCCCGACTGGCCCAATTGCTGGCCAGGCTGAGGGACCCCACCTGTGCATGAATTTGTGCACTGGGCCTCTAGTAATCTTATAAAGCAACTATTGGCGGGGGGGGGGGGGGGGGGGGGGGGGGGGGGGGGGGCGCGTGTGGGTCCCTTAGCCCGGCCTGCGCCTCTCGCAATCTGGGACCCCTCAAAAAATGGTAATCATGTGAGGGGTTAGAGGTGTTAACTAATTTTAATGTGGTAATAATTTCACTATATGCGTTTCAAATCACCATGTTGTACACTTTAAACTTACATATAGAGTGGGGCAAAAGTAGGCTTACAGTTGTGAGTGAGCAAAACACAGAGCTTATTTTTGTATTATTTATTTATTTTGTATTATTATTTATTATTGTATTGTTTTCCATACAAACAGCTGTAAACCTACTTTTGTCCCACCCTGTTTTTATATATAAATAATATCTCAACAAAGCTAAAAAAAAAAAAAAAATACACTGAACTACCAAAGACCATTATACCAGGTTTCTTTATCTAATTACTACCATTATTAAATTTGCAAGTGTTCTACAAGTATAAAATGCTATTAGCATTCTATTATCATTTCAGCATTAACTTAATTACTGTAACACCTTTACAATCCATTACTAAATTGATCAAAGATGCTGCCTAACCTTTAAAAAAATCCACGTGTTTGAATCTATCAGAATGTACTCTAAAATCCATGTATTCATTTCTATATAAAAATCTTTTTTCAATTTTATTTTTAAAATTTGTACTTTTTCAATAACAAGTTTATGTACAATATTATAATAATTTCAGGTGTACAACATAGAGATTAGAAAAGTAATCACCTGGGCAAGTCCCATCTGACACCACACAGAGTAATTAAATTATTGACTATTTTCCCTTAGCCAGGATAAGTCCCATCTGACACCCTACAGAGTAATTACATTATTATGGACTCTATTCTATATCCCCATGACTACTTTTTACTGGCAATTTGTACGTATTAATCCTTTCCCCCTTTCACCCTCAGCTTTGTTTTTGTTCCCAGGTTTTGCAAATCGTTTTTCAAAACCCAAAGGACCAAGGAACCCACCATCAAGTTGGAATGTTTAACAGAACTGTGGACTACAGGCTGAGAAAAATTACCAGAACATCGCTCGTTAAACGAAGCGCTCTGTATGCGCAATGTCAACAGTGTAGATGTGTAATGTGGGAACAGCTCTTAAGAAAAGCAATGCACAAATAGTGTCAAAAGTTTTACATTTAATCTCATTTGCCTTGGGTTGGAAACAGGAGAGAAAGTTTGCCACTTCAGCTTCTGGAGAGAATGCCATAGGAGAAAGAGTGTGGGAATGGATTTTTTCATTTTTGAAAGTTATTTATATTTGACTTTACTTTTTACATAAATATAAACTTGAAAGGATTGGTAAGAATTGGATCTCAATTAAATGTCTACATTGCCAGAATTTACTATAAAAATGTTTTTTTAAAACCTTATCTTGTGAAATACAAAATTGCTGCTTATGATAATGACTGTCCCCTGGGAGTTATTTTTGCCTAAGTGGAGTATAACTTGAACATCTTCCCAAATGTTGTGGGAAACTAGAATAGTAAGAAGTTATATTTAAGAGAATAAAATATGTAAAAAAAATGACTGTAATCTTTTTATTTGTATATATCAACTAACCAGATGTTCAATTACATCCTTGATAAGTTTTAACCGGTTACCCAATCCCCAAATCTAGAATGATTAACAAAATAGCTATCTTTTGGTAGCATTTTCATTTCACAGGTTCTGTGTAAACATGTGCAACTTACAGCCAATCAGAAGCGCGACTAAAGTTTGTGGTGGTTTTTTTTTTTTCCTAAATGAATATGGATCTTACATATTTTAAGAATATCGTCTGATCTTTCCATTCTAATTTTATGTAACAACTACGTAATTATCACAAAGGATTCTCCAGAGTTCTCCGAAATGATTTAACTGCTTAAAACAAACAAACAAAAAAGTCTATGGCTTCCAGAAGCAGGAAATACGTAAAGAGCATCTGTCTGTCCGTATTTTCGGTGGGAAGCCCGGCCAGGGCGTGAGCTGGCTGAGACCCTGCCGCCTGTCCGCTTTGTACACAGCAGGTGCTCAACAAACTCCTTTCTGGATGCATCGCGGGAGCGTTCCGGGCACCGCTGGCATCGAACCACAGTCCTCTGACCCGAGTACTTCACCGGAACCGACTGTCCCCAAGTGACCTTCATCAAGGGCCACAGGCATTGAAAGGATCCCGGGTGAAAGCTGAGCGACTCTGACCTTGTCCGTGAACTTGTGCGCGGAGCCTCGGTGAGCGGCGGCGATCCGGGGAGCGCGCTCCGACAGGCGCACGGATGTAGGCAACCTTATGCTTACGATGTGGAAAAAACCTTTAAAAAAACATTTAAAACGTTTTCTTCCGTCCAGAATGCCCCCCTCTCTGCAGGAATGTCTCCCGGCGCCGCGGGGCGGTGGTGCGCGCGGGCGGGCGGCGCTCCGGCTCCCGCGGCCCCGGCCCCGGCCCCGCCACGCCAGGCGCGGGAACCATGGCAACGCCGGCGGGCGGGGTCCAAAGGTTCCCGAGCGGCAGCCCCGTTAGACTGGAAAAAGCAAAGCCGCCCTCACTTTATACCTACGACGTCCCCCCTTTCCTCTCCACCGCCTCGCCTGCCCCAGGAGAAAAGGCCGGAGGCTCCTTCGCCTCACAAAGGTCAGGCGAGGAACCTGCGATCTCAAAGTAACTATGGAGACCGCCTCGTCCGCGCCACACGACGGAGGAGGACGGGAAGACGACGATGGGAACGCGCCGCCAGTGGACTCGGGCAGCCGTGGACATTGTTTGGGCCGTTAGGGCGGTTGGCGGCCACTCTCCGCCCAGCGCCGGTTGCGTCGCAGCCCGGAGCGTGCCTCGGCGCACGCTCTCCTTCCGCTCGCCGCCCCCGCAGCCGGGGAGGCGGCTAGGGGCTGGGGGACTACCGCTCCCAGGAGGCCCCGCGCGGCGCGGCGCGGCGCGGCGCGGCGCGGGGGGCCGTACAATAGCGGAGAGGAGAGGAGAGGAGGCGGCTAGGGGCGCGCGGACTACCGCTCCCAGGAGGCTCCGCGCGGCGCGGGGGGCCGTACACTAGCGCTCGGGCGGAGAGGCCTGTGGAGAGAGGCGCGGCGGCCGCGGCGGCGGCGGCGGCGAGCGGCCGTTTCCGGCATGTTCAGCTCCGGCCCGGGCTCCGCCGAGCAGCGGAGGGCGGCGGAGGGACTCCAATGCCCAGCGGGCCGTGCGCGGGATGCGCTTGCGCGCTACGCGGACGGGGGGGCGGTCGGGCCATTTAAATGTGTGTTTGTGGGTGAAATGGCTGCGCAGGTCGGAGCGGTGCGCGTCGTACGGGCGGTGGCGGCGCCGGAGGAGCCGGACAAAGACGGCAAGGAGAAGCCCCACGCCGGGGCCTCGCCGCGGGGAGTGAAGCGGCAGCGCCGGGCGAGCAGCGGGGGGTCCCAGGAGAAGCGGGGGCGGCCGAGCCAGGACCCCGCTCTGGCCGCCTCTCACCGGCGGCGTCGTAGCCGCCAACATCCCGGGCCGCTGCCGCTGCCGCCGCCTCTGCCGCCGCCGCCGCCGCCGAATGCAGCCGCCGCGGCGCCGCCGTCCCTCCCGGGCCCCGTGGAGCCCCTGCTGCTGCCGCCGCCGCCGCCGCCCTCGCTGGCGCCCGCCGGGCCCGCCGTGGCCGCCGCGCTGCCGGCCCCCGGCACGTCGGCCCTGTTCACCTTCTCGCCGCTGACGGTGAGCGCGGCCGGGCCCCGGCACAAGGGCCACCGGGAGCGGCACCGGCACCACCACCGCCGCGGCGCGGACGGCGAGCCCGGCGCCTGCGGGCCGGCCGAGCTCAAGCACAAGGACAAGCAGGAGAACGGCGAGCGGGCCGCCGGGCTGCCGCTCCTCAAGGCCCCCAAGCGAGGTGAGCCCGGCTCCGGGTGCCCCTCTCTGCTCGTCCCTCCCTCCTCCCTCCCTCCCTCCCTCCGGGCGCAGCCATCCCGCCCCTCCGGCCGCCCCGCTCCCCGGCCCCCGGGCGGACCCCGGGCTCCGCACCCCGGGCCCCGCCTGACCTACTTGAGGCTTCGGGTTTCCAGGCCGAGCTGTCAGTGACCGGCCGCCCCCTCCCCGGTCCCCGCCCGCCCGGAGCCCGGACCGGCGTTTGTTTTCAAATCGCCAGGGTTTCCGCGCGATGCGGTCCTCGGCGTGGGATTTGTAGGTGGCGCATTAAAACACACACACAAAAACCCTGCCCTTCCAAAGTAAAAACCCTTTCTTCCCGGTCCCCTCGGTGGCTGCTTTAATGCCCACCCTCCCCTCCGCTCCACAGCCTTCCCTGGGGGGGTGTGTGGGGCTGGAAGGAGTTTGAATTCGTAGGGGCGGATCGCCCCAGATCCTGCAGGGTGAAATGGCCAACGCAGTTTACCTTCGTGCTGTTGTGTGTGTTTTTTTACAATCTGGAGGTAAAAATCAATTTTGATTTTCATGGTGGGTCTTAGTTCTCAGAAAAGGGCTGGGGAAGGCTGTCTCTCTCCTTCTTCGATCCTAGGAAGTAGGACCCAACCAGGCCCCTTACAAGTGGGCTGTGTAGTAGGAAGGAATGCATTAGAGGCGAGAATTCCGGTTGCATTTTTATTTTGTCTGGCACAACCCATTGATAATTCACTTCATTCCAATTACCCCGATGCAAAGTCAAGAATATTTGACACAGAGAATGTGGGGCTCCCTAATGAAGTGTGGGTCCGACAGGCGCAATCGGTGTCTTCCCATCTCCAAGGACCTGTAGCATTTGTTTATATTCCCGTAGAAGGAGGGGGGCTGTGTGGATTTTGATTATGACCTGAGTTTGTACTTTGTGTATGATTTTATGTCATTTGTCAGTTGCATCTTTAGAAGATTTGAAGATCCTGCGTGTTTCTCAGGCCTGGGCCTGTTAGGCTGTTGACATGTAATGAACCATCTTCGAATCTTAAGTCTTGTTGGATTCCTTCACAAACTTGGTCTTAGGCTAAAACTTAGGACTAAGACCCATCATTATTTATTTTGAATGCTCCTTCCAAAGAGCACAATTCATTGCAAATACTTGCCCGATGGTATTTGTTGAATTCAGTTAAATCTCTCTTCCTTTGGTGGTACTCCAGTCTCAATCTCAGGATTAGGATTTACGTCAGGCTGACCCGAGGGCCAGTTCCACCATCAATGTGCAATGATCTTGTTCTCTTTAGTTTTTACCTTTATTTCTCCTCTCATTTCATGGGTGTGTTTATGTTTTAACCATACAGAGCTAGAGGTAATTTTAGAGCTCACCCAACGCAGATTTATCTGGTAAAAGAGGAAAAAGCTGAGGCCCAAAGTAGTACCAAGAACAAATGTTTAAAAATTTTCAAACAAATCATTGAGCTACTAGGCCAGTGGTCGGCAAACTCATGAGTCCACAGAGCCAAATATCAACAGTAGAACGATGGACATTCCTTTGGAGAGCCACACTTTTAAACTTCTTCTAACGCCACTTCTTCCACATAGACTCGCCCAGGCCGTTGTGGTGCTTTGTGGAAGAGCCACACTCAAGGGGCCAGAGAGCCGCATGTGGCTCTCGAGCCGCGTTTGCCGGCCAGGGTGCTAGGCGTAGAACCCAGATGTCCTGAATCCCAGTACCAGCTTCTCTCCCCGCGGGAGGCTGCTCTCTCTGCCGTCCCTTCCCGCCTCTGCTTAGGAGAGGGCAGCAGCCAGGCCCAGGAAGAATTCCCGATGGCACCCTTATGGGGGCCAGTGGTCATTCCATGTAAACAATTCACAGCTGCTGCTCTGGAGATTGCTCAGGCCTCCTGTTCTCTAAAAAACAAAAGCAAACCTTTAACCCAGTGCTGTCCAACCAACAACTTCTCCGATGATGGCAATAGTCTGTGTCTGTGCTAACATGGCAGCCGTCAGTCATCTGTGGCCCTTGGAGCACGTCTTTTTTTTAATGCCTTTTTATTGATTTCAGAGAGGAAGGGGGGGGGGGAGAAACATCAATGATGCAGTCATTGATCAGCTGCCTCCTGCAGCCCCCTATTGGGGATGGAGCTCAACCTGTGGGAATCAAACCTTGACCTCCTGGTTCTTAGGTCAACTCTCAACCACTGAGCCACACTGGCCAGGCTGAGGCAAGTCTAAAAGACTTGTAATGTGGCTAGTGTGACTGAGGAACTGAATTTTAAATTTCGTTTAATTCTAATTAATTTATAATTAAGTAGTTCCTTTTGTACAGTGTAGCTTGAAGCAGTTGTAGTTTGCCAATACATAAAGAAGACAAGTGGGTTAAGATCAAGTCATTTAAACTTTTTTAAAATTTGAGATATAATTGCCCTGGTCGGGTGGCTCAGTCAGTTGGAGTATTATCCTGTATACAAAAGGTGGCAGGTTCCATTCCCTGTCAGAGCACACATGTAGGTTGCAGTTGGGAGAGAGTATGGGAGGCAACCTATCGATGTCTCTTAAACTGATGTCTCGCCGAGACCGGTTTGGCTCAATGGATAGAGCATCGGCTTGGGGACTGAAGGGACCCGGGTTCGATTCTGGTCAAGGGCATGTACTTTGGTTGCGGGCACATCCCCAGTAGGGCGTGTGCAAGAGGCAGCTGATCGATGACTCTCTCTCATCGATGTTTCTAACTCTCTATCTCTCTCCCTTCCTCTTTGTACAAAATCAATAAAATATATTAAAAACAAACAAACAAACAAAAAAAAACTGATGTCTCTCTCTCTCTCTCTTCCTCCCCTTCCTTCCACTCCCTTCCTCTCCTCCCTCACTAAAATCAATTTTAAAAAATCCCCGGGTGAAGATTAAAAAATAAATTGAGATATAACATTATAGTAGTTTCAGGTGAACACATAATATTTGATATTTGTATATATTGTGAAATGATCAGAATAAGTCTAGTTTAAATATTTTACATTTGAATGAG